AATGCAAATGTCCAATGGGTAAATAAAGGGTGGTATGCCCATACAATGGAATATTACTCAGCAATAAAAGGGAATGAAGTACTGGTACAGGCTACAGCAGGAATGAACCCTGAGAACATTATGCTAAGTGCAAGGGGCCTGTCACAAATGAACACGTGTTGTATGATTCCATTTATATGAAATGTCCAGAACAAGCAGACCCATACAGACAGAAAGCAGATCGGTGATTGCCCAGGGCTGCGGTGGGGTGGGAGGGTGCAGGGGCGTGATGGCTGCAGTGGTATGTGTGTGATCTCCTTGGGCTAATGAGAATGCTCTAAAGTGGATCTGAAGTCGGTTCTATTCTATGATCCCAGTTACAAGCCATTGAACTGTTCACGTTAAGTGGGTGAATTGTTTGGTTTGCAGATTCATTTCAATAAAGCTGCTACCAAAAGAGAGAGATGCCCTCTGACACAGAGATCATGATGTAAGTCTACTACCTGATGGCACAAAATTGGCCAATAGAAGAACTAAAAATATTTATATGGGGAGAAAGGGAGGGAAAAGTGAGGTCTACATGAGTAAAGTCCTCAGCCATCAGAAAAAAAAAAATCTATAATGCACAATGTTCATCCAGAAGGGAACCATTCTTTAGGGATGTAAAGACAAGTAAGAGAAGAAACTGTTAAAAACATTAACCAGCGTTTCCAACAGGCAATAGGTTTTGAGAAGAAACAGACTGAATTCTTTTCCTCACAGTCCTTTGCTGCTGGCGGATCGGCTGGATGGACGTAACAGTCCCCACCGCAGAGACTGATCCAGCCCACGAGGCAGTAGTTCCCAGGCTTAGAAGCCCTGGTTGATTTTATTACCTTCGTAATTGTTTCCACCCTTTGTAAGTACCTGTTTCTGATGTTTACTTTTAGGTCCCCCATTGAGGCTGTAAACCCCTCCACCTCTCCCAGTCAAAGAACAGAGAAGCAGAGAAAACACCACAGACTCTGGGATCTGGAGCCTGGATCTGATGCAGCCTTGGGAGGTCAGGGAAGGCTTCCTGGAGGAAGGTACATTGGAGTCAGATGTTCAAGAGCAGGGAGAGTGTTTGTCACATGGCTGAGAGAGGGAAGGGGATTCCAGGCAAGGAAGCTACACTCAAGAATCTCAAAAGCAGGAAGGAGCTGGGCCTAGTAGGGAAACGCACTCCAGTCTGCAGGAGGCAGCCGTGGGAATGCTGGAAGATGGGGCTAGTGCTCAAGTGAGGAACTCGGGTTTTCTCCTGAGGGTAATAGGGAGCCATAGGGGAATTTAAGCGGACAAGGGACACAGTCAGCTCTAAATATTAGGAAGAGCCTTTAGGGACCAAGTGAAAATCGGTCTGCAGGGAGACCACTGGCCTAGGCAAGAGCAGGACAGAGAGAAGGGATGGGTGTGAAAGGGACGGGGAGGGGGAGGCTTGGCGCATGGGGACTGGCTGGTTGCCGGGAGTGAGGGAGAAGAGGCGTGAGTGTGACACTGACGGAGCAGCCCCTGCGTCCCCGTCACAGTGCAATGCGATTGACGGTGATAATACAGCTTGGGCATTAGTTACCTAGTGCCACGCAACAAATTACCACAAACACAGAGGCTTAAAACAACACAGATTTATTATCTCAGTTTCTGTGGACCAAGAATCCAGTGCATTGCAACTGGGTCTCGCAAGGCTGAAATTAAGATGTTGGCTGGTTGTGTCCTCACCCGGAGGCTCAATTAGGGAGAGATCCACTTGCGCAGAATTCATTCCCTGTGGCTGTGGGATTGAAGGCCCTGTGCACTTAGCAGTTGCCACCCGCAGGTCTTTGCAACATGGCTCACTCTATGATGTGTCAGTTTGCTCCTTCACAGCAGAAGAGACGTCTGTTGCTTTGACGGGTCAAAAATACATCACCTGATTAGGTCAGGCCCACCCACAATAACCTTTTTAATTAATTTCAAGGCAGTGGATGAAGGACCTTAATTACATGTGAAAAATTCCCTTGCCTTGAGATACAATGTAGCCTAACCATGGGAATGAGACCCCATCCTATTCACAAATCATGCCCACACTCAAGGGGAGGGGATTCTATATGGTGTGTACACCAGGGCTCAGGAATCTTGGGTGTTACTTTAGAGCTCTTCCTACCACATGGGATCAGGGAAGTGAGGGTGGCAGACCTTCTTGAGGGTAGGGGCTTAGCAGGCTTATCTCTGAGTCTACAGTCCCTAAGTCTCTAGGTCAAGCCCATGGGAGACCTTGGCTAGTGTGAGAGGAATTCATGATCTAGTTAGGAATGAGATCAGAAAGGACCCCTAACTGGGATCTTCTGTGATACCCCTTCTGTAGGGTCCTTCTGTGAGCTGAAGGGTTGATCAGTAGGCCTCATATTTCTGTCTTACAACATGAAGTCCAGGGTTGCCATCTCATTTCTCAATAGGACAAACATGATCCAGCAATTCCACTCCCAGGTACATACCCAAGAGACATGAAAACAATAGTCCCTGAAAAGACTTGTACTTGAATATTCATGGCAGCATTATTCACAATAGCCAAAGTGTGGAAACAATGCAAATGTCCAATGGGTAAATAAAGGGTGGTATGCCCATACAATGGAATATTACTCAGCAATAAAAGGGAATGAAGTACTGGTACAGGCTACAGCAGGAATGAACCCTGAGAACATTATGCTAAGTGCAAGGGGCCTGTCACAAATGAACACGTGTTGTATGATTCCATTTATATGAAATGTCCAGAACAAGCACACCCATACAGACAGAAAGCAGATCGGTGATTGCCCAGGGCTGCGGTGGGGTGGGAGGGTGCAGGGGCGTGATGGCTGCAGTGGTATGTGTGTGATCTCCTTGGGCTAATGAGAATGCTCTAAAGTGGATCTGAAGTCGGTTCTACTCTATGATCCCAGTTACAAGCCATTGAACTGTTCACGTTAAGTGGGTGAATTGTTTGGTCTGCAGATTCATTTCAATAAAGCTGCTACCAAAAGAGAGAGATGCCCTCTGACACAGAGATCATGATGTAAGTCTACTACCTGATGGCACAAAATTGGCCAATAGAAGAACTAAAAATATTTATATGGGGAGAAAGGGAGGGAAAAGTGAGGTCTACATGAGTAAAGTCCTCAGCCATCAGAAAAAAAAAAATCTATAATGCACAATGTTCATCCAGAAGGGAACCATTCTTTAGGGATGTAAAGACAAGTAAGAGAAGAAACTGTTAAAAACATTAACCAGCGTTTCCAACAGGCAATAGGTTTTGAGAAGAAACAGACTGAATTCTTTTCCTCACAGTCTTTTGCTGCTGGCGGATCGGCTGGATGGACGTAACAGTCCCCACCGCAGAGACTGATCCAGCCCACGAGGCAGTAGTTCCCAGGCTTAGAAGCCCTGGTTGATTTTATTACCTTCGTAATTGTTTCCACCCTTTGTAAGTACCTGTTTCTGATGTTTACTTTTAGGTCCCCCATTGAGGCTGTAAACCCCTCCACCTCTCCCAGTCAAAGAACAGAGAAGCAGAGAAAACACCACAGACTCTGGGATCTGGAGCCTGGACTCTGATTTCACTTCCTACTTGCATGGTGTGCTAACCTCTTTGTGTCAGCATCCACATCTTTAAAATGAGGGCTAATAACAGAACCCAGAAGACCAAGTCAACATCTGCAGATGGCTTAGGTCAGTAGTTTCCAGGACTCACTTTAATCAGTTACAGTCATTGTTCCCAGCTGTGTCCCTCTCCCTGGCAAAAGAGCAGAGGATGGGCAATATTTCTCAAATGAATGAATTCCAGGTGCCTTCCCTGGAGGCTGGTGCTTCTCTGCTTCTATAGTGGGGTGTCAGAATGTTTCTCTAACCGCCCTTCTCCCATGTGGCATGGTGAGAATTGAGTAAACTGACCTGTGGAAATCTGAGATGCTAGGTACAGAAAGATATGACTCCTCAGGGGGGCAGGTAATGGGATATGTGGGGAAACCAGGTTTTCTGTGGCTTACCTACTGCTGACCACCCCTGGCAGTACCCCACAAAGACACTGCTTCATCTCCAACTCTGCCTTTTCTTCCCTGATTTGGGCAAATCACCACACATCTCCAGTCATCTATAAGCCTCGGTTTGTTTGTCTATAAGATGGGAACATCAGTGCAAGGATTTTGTAAGAATTCCAAAGCATGCATACTGCCTAGCCCAAGAGTATAGTCATGGCCAGCTTTTCATTTTTTGATAGCATTTGCATGAGGACACAGTCCTGAAATAACTGCTTGTCTAGAGCAGTGTGCAAAGACCTTTTCTCATCAATGTTCTCGTTTAACTGGAGGCAGCCTTTGAATCCACAAGAGAGCAAATGTTTGGCCAAGGTCACACAGTGGCTACAGGCATCTCTGAGATTTGAGCTCAATACCAGACGTTCTGACTCTTTCTGAGACTTTCCACTTCGTGTTGTCTACTCCCTACCCCCTGGCTTGTTCTAGAACCCGGCAAACCATTCTTTCTAAAAGGGTCGCATAACTCTCCCATCAGAGCCCAGCCAGATTTCTTCAGGACTTATTTCCACCCTAGTTTTTTGTACTCTGCTTTTCTCCGCACTCTCTTCCCCATTTGGGGGGCATCGAACTGATTGAGCTAGGGGTGGGGAGGGGGGTCAGAAGAAAGAAATATGCATTTGTTGGTGAGCCTCCAAAGGCTTGCTACCCTTGTAAATTTACTAGGATATCATTTTATTTTCAGGGGGGTCTGTGCCTTGCCGCTAGTGGTGCGGGGGAGACCCGCAGAGGTTGAGCTTTCCCTTGGATTTGGGGAAAGGGGAGCGAGAGCTCCTGGGGTCCTTTCTAAAAGGCCCTCCCCTCATTTCCGGCCGCTGCCGCCAGCCTTGGCTGGGCGCCTGGGTCCTGTTGCTATGACGACAGGAAGAGGCGGTGGCGGCGACAGGCGATGCTGTGGAGAGATGGAGGCTAGTGGGGGTGGGGGTGGTGGCTTTGAAATGGGGATGGGGGCAGGGATCGGGGCTGGGGGGGCGGGGGTGTCCTCTCCCCCCGACCCCCTCCGTTCTCCTGAGCCCGGCCCGCTCGCGGCTTCCCGAGGCTGCCTCGGGCTCTCCGTTCCCGGGGTCTCTCTTTCCCCACCTGCCTCTCTCTCCGGGTCTCCCCCTCTCCTGCTGCCCCTGCCTGTGGGTCTCCGGGCCCCGTGTGCTGCTTAGGCTGCTCTCCCCTCGGCGTCCCCCCCATTGACGCCCCCCTGCATCCTTGTCTCCCCGTTAAGCCCTTGCCCCATCCAGAGCTCCCCCCGCCCCCCCGTCTCTGTCTGTCTCTCCCCGTCTGTCCCTCCTCCCCCTCCCTGGATGACTCTCCCCCCGTCCCCTCTTCCCTTCTGGCACCCGGATCCTGACCTCCCCCACGCCCCTCTCTCCCCCAGTGCCTCGCCTTCCCCCTCGGGCCCCGGGTCCTTCTCTCTCGGGGTATTTCTCTGCGTGTGGCGTCTCTCCCCAACTTCCTCCCGCTACCAGCCGCTGCCTCCCCCAATCCCTCCTCCCCCATCTCTGCCTCCGAGTCTCCGGGCCTCTCGCTCGCTCCCCAGCTTCTTTCTGCCACCCAGACCCTGCCCCCCGCTCCCTCCCCCCTCTCCTCTCCGTGGCCCCCCCGTCCCCAGCCGCTCCCCTCCCCCTCCCTCCTCCCTCCCTCCCTCCTCCAGCTCCGCACTTTACCCAGCGACACGAGAACCAAATTGTCTGCTCACCTTTCTCCCCCATCCCGACCCCCGCTCCCCTGGGGCCGGAACTCGGAGCTGGCCCCCAGCCTCCCCCCTGCCTCCACAGCCCCTCTCCCCAAACGCCTCGTCCCACCCCCCCAGCCAGTCGGACGCCTGGGTCCCTCGCTGCTGGGGGAGGGGCGCAGAGAACTGGGAGCCACGGGGTTCTTCTGGGGGGTGCCGACAGGGGGGCTCAGTGTCCCCTCCGCAGCACCGGAGAGCTGACCTGTCGTTCAGAGGTGAGACAGACCTTTTTATTACTCGGAGGTGGGTGGGTGTAAATGAAGGTCCTGCGACCCCCCGATTCTGGAGGAAGGAGTCAGTCCTCTTCGGCGGGAGGTGGGGTAGTGACCCCTGCCATGTTCGGAAGCTTTAGGATGGGGGTCCTCTGCGCCCTCCTTCTCTGCTGCCGCTGCTGACAGATGGACTAAAAGAACAGTCCCTAAACCCAAACCGATTGTCCCCCGTATCGTCAAAATGGAAAGATCTCCCCATCCTTTATCTGATGGAGAATTTCCCTCATTTACCCCTGTCTCCATCCCCTCCTTCTCCCGGGTTGTAGGGCCCGGTGGGGGTCGGGGTACATCCCGGGGTCACTGGCTCACCCCAGAGAAGCAGGAATCTGCTAGGATAGTGGATGGTGCTGCTGGCGGTGAGGAAGCACCGAGAGAGGAGGTGGAGAGGAAACTCGGCGTCGGTCTGGGGAGAGAGGGGGGGGCCAGGACCGGGGGAGATGCTGGGGGGCAACCGCGTCCAGGGCCTGATGAATGGGGCCGGGCAGGGCTGCGTGTGGGCCGCCGGACGGCAGGTGGGGGAGGGAACGCGTGTGCGGGGCACTAGGCCCAGTTGCCATGGAGACACCCCCCCATAGACAACCTTTTCTACGGCCCCTCCTTGGAGCAGGCTCTGGGGGTGCCAGGTGGTGGGGATGGCAGAGGCCAAGGTCACCCTGGTACTGGGACCCAGGGCGGCTTTTCCCCTCTGAGGCTTCCTTCCCGGCTCTTAACTGGGCTGGGGGGTTGGGGGTCAAGTCCAGAAAGTGACTGTGGAAGTGCGTAAGGGACGCTGGCCGGAAGGAGGGCAGGCGAGGTGGGGAGGAAGGCCGGGCTGGGGGCGTGGTGGTGCGCAGGCCGCGGGAGGGGGAATCATCCCTAAGTCTAAGAGTTGTAGGCGTGTGGGTCAGGTTTTCCCGAGGGGTGCCGTCTATTGGGGAGGCCTATTTTTAAATTTGGAAGAAAATGGGGGCTACAGGATATGGGGTTCCAGCAGAGGTGAAATAGTAGGGGCCAGGAAGGGGAGTCAGGGAGGCCCTGAGGAGGGTTTTCCTGAGTATAGGAGGTGCAAGGAGTTAAGGGGGGGGCAGTGGAAGGAGAGGGGAAGAGTGGAGGGGCTTCTTCAGGGTGGAGGAGAGGCGCGGGGCTCCCCTGAGTTGCAGAGGAGCGGGAGGTCCCGAGGTGTTGAGGTTCATCCTACAGTGGGGAGATCTGGAGGCAGTGGGAGGTGGCGGAGGGCAGATCACTGGGGGCGCTGGGCTTGAGCGGTGGGATTTCCTTGGGCAGCAGGTGAGAGATTGGGGGTTTTTGAATGGAGAAGGATTTGGGGTTTGCTGGAGGGGATCTCTGTGAGGGGAGGAGCTCACAGAGGAAATTTTTCTTAACAGAGGAGGAGAAAGTGGTGGTTCTGGTGAGTTTGTCTGAGTTGCAGTGATGGTGGGGGCCAGATTCAGGAGACTTCGAGCAAAGGAAGGAGTGCAGGGGTTCCTTGACCAAAGACATAGAAGGGGAGGGGGCTTGAGGGAGGGCTGTAGAGCGGGGGGTGGTGTCCACCGCGCGGCTGCCCAGTAGTCCCCCGCGGGGCTCTTACAAGCCCAGGCGCTCCGGGCCACACACCGCAGACCCATGAAATTGGAATTTCTCAGGTGGGACTCAGGTGGCAGGATCTTTGAAGGTCCTGGAGACTTCCAGGTGTGTGCGTTGGAAGCCGAGAACCTTGGTCCAGAGACATGGGGGCTGTCTGAGTGGGGAAGGGGGCTCCCGTGGGAGGAGGTTGTGGGGGGTGGCAACCGTGTGGCTTTTCTGAGTTGTGCACAAGGGAATCAGTTGGGAAGGTTTTCTTCTAGCTGAGCAGAGATCCAGAGATTTCTTTTTCCTGAGTAGAGAACGTAGGAGAGGAGGTGAGGCTTGTAGGGGACAGTCGGGAGTGGGTGGGACTGTCCGGGATAGACCGGCCCCAGGGTCTCGGAGGCAGTGGGCAGAGGGCAGTGTCGCTAGGGGGCAGGAGGCGCTGGTGGGGGTGGGGGTCTTTCCCGGGGCGAGAACGGGGCGGAGCAGGGGGAGGAGCTGGAGGGCCTGGGGGCGTGTCCTCCAGGGTCGGGCTGGCGGGGGGCTCTCCCGGGGGGTCAGCGCCCTTGTCGCCTGACCCTCGCTGTCCCTGCCCGCCCCCGCCAGCTGGCGGCCATGGCCGCGCTCTGACCCACCGCCCGCCACCGCGCGCCCCAGCCCGGCCCCGGCCCGGCCCGCTTCCTCCTGCGCTGTGCCCCCCCCGCCGCCGGCACGGCCCCGCCCCCGCTGCCCCGGTGGTGGCCCCCGGCCCCCCGGCTGCCCGTGGTCAAACTGGAGTCGCTGAAGCGCTGGAACGAGGAGAGGGGCCTGTGGTGCGAGAAGGGCGTGCAGGTGCTGCTGACCACGGTGGGCGCCTTCGCCGCCTTCGGCCTCATGACCATCGCCATCAGCACCGACTACTGGCTGTACACGCGCGCCTTCATCTGCAACACCACCAACCTCACGGCCGGCGACGACGGGCCGCCGCCCCGCGCGGGCTCCTCCGAGAAGAAGGACCCCGGCGGCCTCACGCACTCGGGGCTCTGGCGCATCTGCTGCCTGGAAGGTAGGGCCTCCCTCCGCCGCGGGCCGGTCGCGTCCCGGGGCCTGGGCCTCCCTGCGGCCCGTGCGCCGCCGCCCCTCCACCCTGCTGCGCACCCCAGCCTCCCCTCGGGGCCCCAACCTTGCCCTCCTTTCGTTCACGTCGGGAGCCCGGCCCCCTCCCCCCTCACAGTTACCCGGACCCCCAGCACGCCGTCCTCGCCCACTGTCCCCTCCCCTCCCCTCTGTCCCCACCCTGGCCTCTTGCCCCGTCCAGCGCCCCTTGCTCATCTCCTCCCGCCCTTGGTCTCCCTGGGGCTCTCTCCCCAGACGCCCGCGCTGTCCGGCCACCGCTCAGGACCCTCTCCCCTCCCTCCAGCCCTTCTCCTCCACGGAGCCGCGTGTCCAGCCGGCTGCACGCACTAGGGTCCCCCCGACCTCCCATCCCAGGCCTTGGCCCCCCTCAGCCTTTAGTCAGCCTGCTTCCGGGTCCCTCTGCTCATCCCTTTCTCCTGCCTCCTCCTTCCTCCTTCCGCAACCACCTCTTGACTTAGTCCGCTGCCCCTTCCTGTGCGGAGCTCTGCGGGCCTGGCACAGAGGCGCTGGGCAGGTGGGGTCGGGAGACCCGTTTGCAGGCCCGCTGTGCCTCTGCGCCGGGGGCGGCTGGCCGCCTCCCCCCTGCTCTCACCTGCGTCACGGAGTCTGGCGCCTGGCCAGAACCACAGCTCCTCGACCCACACCAGAAGGATGGAGACCCCTCCACCTCTCGTTAGCGTCCTCCTTCCCCGGCCTTCCCTCCTGTCTTCCAAGCACTCGCGATGAGATAAGCAGGAGTGTTATTATCTCATTTAATCCGATGAGGTGGGAGCCACCCTCCCGGCAGGGATGAGGAAACTGAGGTTCAGAGAGATTAAGCCACTTGCCCAAGGTCACCCAGCTGTTACTGGGGCCCAGTCAACAGAACCCACGTCTGATGGATGGAGTTTGCTGATACGCTTTGTCTGGTGGCCAGGTGTTTAAAATCAAACCCAAAATCTTAGTCAGTTGCTGGTATTTAAGCATAGGGAGGCTTCACATTGAAACTCTGATTTCCGGCTTCTTTTGGACTAGTGGGAGGCTAACAGAACAGGGGCCTGCACTCCGCAGTGGCCATGATTAGCTCCATCCGGGTAACAGCTGCTTTTTCAGGTCAAGCAGGGGGTCTCCACTTCCCTGCAGTTGCCACTGCTCCCTGTTGCCCCACAGCCGCCCTCTGCTCTCATTCTGTTGCTTTCTTCCTCCTGGGGGCATTCCAGTTCATGTCCCTTCACCGGTCTGACCAAGAACCAGGCACAGAGCCAAGCGTTGGGGCTTGCACCCCGAAACCCCTAGGACAGTGCCCAGAACAGAGTAAGAATGCCATTTGCTCATTCATTCTTCAACAACCAATTTTTATTGAGTTATACTATGTGTCAGGCGTTGTTTTTGATTCCAGGCTACAGCAGTGAAAAAAAAAAACAAAAAAATCCCCAAAGAGCCCTGTTTTTACATATTTTATATTCTAGAGGGAGGAGAGATACTAAAGGAGATAAGTAAATAAAACATTTAGGGCGTTAGAGCTAAGTGCTAAGGAGGACAAAGAGCAAGGGGGGAGATGGAAAGTGGCAGGGACATGTGTGACATTGTGAGCAGGAGACCAAGACAGGCCTCACTGGGCACGTGGCACTGGCATGGAGGTCTGAACCCAGCAGAGATGGAGCCACGCAGCTGTCTGCTTGAAAGTGCATCAGGCTGCAGAAACAGCAAGAACAAAGGCCCTGGGGCGGGTGCTCATGTGCATGTATGACCCCCATGCAGAGGCCAGTGTGCGTGGTGGTGGGGATATCGCAGGCAGTGCAGTCAAAGAGATAATGGGCCCTGACCTCGCATGTTCTTCCCGGTCCTGGCATGCAATCTGCTTCTCACATGGAGGATCCTGAGCAGAGTGGCAGGAGCCCGCTTAAATTTTAACAGGACCGCTTTTGCTGCTGTGCCGAGATACGAAGGAGCAGGCAAGAGGGAAAACAGGAGGTGGCTTGTCTGCGGCGGTGGGGAGCGGTGGTTTGAGCAGTGACTTGAATTCAGAGTATATTCCGGGTCTGCACTGGGCAGTATTGCCGGTGGGGCAGTTGTGGGATTTGGAGAGAGAAGAGCCAGGGTCTCAACACAGCGGCTTTTGCAGTCTTCGTGCCGATGACATTTGGGACTGGAAAGTGCAGGGGGCCATCCTGCACACTGTAGGATGTTTAGCATCATCCTGGCCTCTGCCTTCTAAATGCTGGCAGCAGCCCCACAAGCTGTGACACGGAAATTGTCTCTAGTCTAAGGACACAGTCAGCTCTGGCTGAGAATCATGCTCTAAGGCCGTGGCTGGAGCACCTGAGAAAGGTGGGGAGGGGGCGGCACTCATAGGTTGGAACAGCAGGAATTGTATTTTATTTGGTTTATTTTCTCTTATCTGATTTGTTACAAGGAGGGAATCTCACGAGCTCAGTTTTGGACCTGTTAGATTTAGGATGTCCGTAGAGAGAGCGCTGGGCAGGGGTCCGCACAGACAAGGTTTGTAGGTGCTGTGCTGTGCACACATTGGGCCTTATGGAGCATGCATCTCTGCCATACAAGCACTCCCCAAAACAACCAGAGACAACCCGTGAGTGAATGAGCGTAGCTGCATTCAAGTTACACTCCATTTTTGGACACTGGCATTTGAATTTCAAATCATTCTCATGTGCCACGAAGTATTCCCCTTTGACATTTCTTCAGTCTTTTAAAAAATGTAAAACCCACTCTTTGCTGGAGTTGGCAGGCTGGGTTAGGCCCACAGGCTGTGGCTGGGTGACCCCTGATCTGGGCTGTTAGTGATATGATGTATGAAGCCAGAGTGCAGGGGACGGTCTGGGCTGGAGATGTAAATTGGGGGGTGGGGGTGATCATTGTATATATGTAGTTGAGGTCACCTAGAGAATGAGATGAGACAGACAAACCAAAAAAATCAGTTGAACCTGCAGCCTGAGCTAGTCCACTATTAAAAGACACTCAGATTGATGATCAGCTAAGGGACTCCGAACAGAGTGGCCACATAGGTTTGGGGAAAATGAAGTAAGTGGCTGTCCTGGAAGCCAAAGGAAGTAAGTGCTTTAAGGAGGGGTAAATGAAGGCTGCCTTTATTGTTACTCTAATTGTCATTCATTTGTCACCGAATGCTCACAGTAACTGTGCAGTATGTACTATTATCCCCTTCTTCTACAAATGGAAGCTAAAGCTCAGAGATGTGAAGTGACTTCCCCAAGGTCACACAGCTAACCGACAGTCAAGTCTGGATTTGAATCCAGATCTGTTTTGTCTCCTGGTAGAACAAAGCAATGTACCCACCAGCCTCCAGCCCATCAGTGCAAAGTGAATCCCTGAGCCCCTGAGCCAGGACTTTGTGGGCTCCGTCCCCATCTCCTGTGGAGTCTCTCTGAGAGATGCAGTAGAATGCAGTGACTCACACATAAACTCTATGACAAGATGGACTGGGTTCACTGCCCATCTGCCATCAGTTTAACCTCTCTGTGCCTCATTTCCATCATGGCTGGAATGGGATTATAATAGCCCTTAACCCACAGGGCTGTGGAAGGATTCAGTGAGTTAGTACTGTATTTAAAAGGCTAGCAGGCAGAGTAAGGGCTAACTTATGTCATTTATAGTTTGCTCTTCTTCTCAGAAATTCAGGGGACCACGCTCTGAGCCCTTTCCTGGTGATAACCCAGAAATCCCAGCCTCTTACCCAGCACTGTCCCATAGGAACACCACATGAGCTGCAAACATGATTTAAACTTTTCTAGTAGCTACAGTAAAACAAGTAAAAAGGAAAAGGTTCAATGAATATCATTTAATAAATGCAGTTTATACAATATGATCAATTAATATAAAGGTTAATAATATCTTATCCAAGCATAGCCCAAATATTCTCATTTTAACATATCAATATAAAATGTTATTAATAGAATAGTTATTAATAGAATGCATTTTTCTCATACTAAAGTCAGAAATCTGGTGAGTCACACTCACACCTCATCTCAGTGTCCAGGGGCCACCCAGGGTGGGTGGCATTTACACGGGTGGTCTGGTGGCACCATGGGAACCAGGACCATGCTCAGGACTCAAGAACCTAGACATACAGTCCCATTTTTTTGAACTGACTGTATGAAGTCCCTGTGCTCAGCACTTTGCATGCCTTATTATCTCACTGAATCCTCCCAGTTGCACCGGGAGGGAATGAATTATTATCACTAGAGGTTGTTAGAGCAGGAAGCTGATGGCTGGAAAAGGGAAGTGAGTCAGCCACATGGCCACTCAACATGTGAAGGACAGAGCCAGCTGGAGCCCACTTCTTTGCATGTCCTCAAGGCAGCCTGCTCCCCGTCACCCCCTACCTGCTGCCTGGGTCTGTGCTAGGCAGGCCCTGGGGAAGACGCGGGGACATAGAGCCACCGTCCTTGCACATAAAAAGCTCCTAGCCCAGTCGGGTTGGATAACACAGAGGCATGCTGCCTAGCCCCTGTATTCTGTGCTTGGCTGTGTGCTTCCGTGAACCCTTATCAAACCCTATAAGGTCCGATCCTCATCCTCATTTTCCAAACGAGGAAGCTGAGGCTTAGGGGAATTGCAGTCCCAAAAGCCACACAGCCAGGAAGTGGCAGTCCTGGCATGTGAGGCCAGAGACTTATTCACAGCCCGTGCTCACAGCCACAGGCTCTACGGCCTTTAAACAAGCTCACCTCTAAGCCCAGCTGCCCTGGACTTTCCTCCCCATGACTCCTCATCTACATGGGATGGAGTAATTTGTTCAACTCTATGCCTCAGTTTCCTCATCTGTGAGGCAGGGACACCATTACTGCCTAGTATCCCTGGGGCTTGTCCGAAGGATCGTGTGCGTTAGTGGCTCCCGGAGGCCTGGAGCGGTGCCAGGTGTGCGGTTAGCCCTCAGGAAGCATAGTCCTCATTATACTGCCCCACTAATCTGTTGAGCCGCGTGCTCTGTGCTTCACACACTCCATGTTTAGTTGCTGTGATCCCATTCAAGAAAGGAGAGAACTTGAACCCACAAGCTTACCTATGGCCCCCTAAATGGTGTGTGGATGGGTAAGAGTTTGCAGTTGAGAGGTGTACATCCACTCATTCATTCATTCATTCTTTTTTTAAAAGTGTAGTAAAATACACACAACATAAAATGTATCATCGTAACCGTTTCTAAGGGTACAGTTTTGTATGTTAGGTCCACTCACATTGCTGTGCACCCAATTTCCAGACCTCTTTTCATCTTGTAAAACTGGAAGCTCTGTCCCCATTAAACAATACTCCCCATTTCCCCTCCCCCAGCCCCTGGCAACCCCCATCCTACCTTCTGTCTCTATGAATATGATGACTCTAGATAGTCCATACAAGTGGATCATACAGTATTTATCTTTTTGTGACTGGCTTATTGCACTGAGCATAATGTCCTCAAGGTTCATCAATGTTGTATCAGGTGTCAGAATTTTCTTTTAAGGCTGAATCATATTCCATTATATGATGGACCACATTTTGTTTATCCACTTTTCCATAGACACTTGGGCTGCTGTGAATGAATAAGCCTGCTATGAAAGTAGGCATACAAGTATTTCTTAGAGACCCTACTTTCAATTCTTTTGAGTATGTACCCAGAAGTGGAATTGCTGGACCCTACAGCAATTCTGTTTTTATTTTTTTAGGAAACTCCATACTATTTCCGATAGTGACTGCACCATTTTGCATTCCCACCAACAGGGCACAAGGGTTCCAATTTCTCCACATCCTCACCGACACTTGTTATTTTCTGTTTTCCTTTTTTTTTTTCATAGTAACCATCCTAATGGGTATGAGGTGGTGTCTCGCTGTGGCTTTGATTTGCATTTCTCCAGTGATTAGTGATGTTGAGCGCGTTTCATGTGCTTGTTGGCTCATCCAATCATTCATAAAAATATTTATTAAGCACCTACTATGTGGGAGGCGTTGTTCTAGCTGCTGGGAGTACAGTGGTGAGCAGCCCATATTCCTACTCTCCAGTACAGAAAAACCGCTGTGTTTGAAATCTGCTTTCACCAGCCAACAGCTGGGAATTGATGACCCCTTTCTGTGCCTCTGTTTCCTTATTTGAACAATGGGTATATGGACCGATAACCAACCGAGCACTTGTGTTCCAGCAAAGTGATAAATATCTTTACCTGGATTCAATCTTTACAACAACCCTGTGAGGTAGGTCCTACTGTCCCCTTTTCATGGGTGAAGGGACTGAAGCACATCGATCTAAGTAAAGCCGACAAGGTCACAGAATAAGGACGTGATGGAGTTGGGCCTCCTTATCGAGCAGTGTGACTCCAATTTCCAACGTTTGGCCACTGCATGACACCAGTAACATTACCTATTTCATGGGACTCTTGGGAGCCCCGGATGAGTTAATCCAGCTAGGAAGTAACCGAACACATGTTGGCTCTTAGTGGAATTACTTGCTGCCTTACATTCCTTGTTCACAATCCTTTCCTTTATGCCCCTGCCTTTCCCTGTCATCTTCTGCCTCGAATCTCCCCTTCTGCTCTCCTTGTACTCATTCATAATTTCACTCATTCAAAATGTATTTCTTGAGGCCTCGTTTGTGCCAGGAAATGCTAGGGACAGGCAGGGGAACCAGACCCCACGCCCTCCTCCTGCAGGAAGTCCCCGTTTGCGAAGGAAGAAGCAGCTCCGTAAATTAACCTGATGCATGCCCCAAAGAGGCAGCATCGGGGCTGCTGCACCCCAGAGGGGAAGCTGACCCAGCGTTGGTGGGAAGGGTGCACATGTGCCTCCACGCACGGGGAAAGCGTCCTCAAACAGGTGCCCTGTGAGCTGCTCACCTGCAGGGTAAGTTTTCCATCTTAAGAATGTGAGCGGAACGTACTACGGTATTGGCAAAGGCCCAGAGGTTGGAAGGGGTCTAGAGAATTGAGGTAATGGAATATATTTCCACTTGTACCTATTTTATATCAGTCTGTAGCTATGTGTTAGAGGTTACAGTAGAAAAGAAACTGTCCCCAAAGATGAGAAAATAGGTCCCACAGGGTGTGAGGATGAGGATTCCGGGATGGAGGAAGCCGTGAGACTGCATAACCCCCAGAGGTACACCTCCTCACACGCCTCTGCTTGCTCCAACCACTACATTTCCTTCCAGAGGATTCCAGGTAGCAGACGGGATTCCAGAATCCCTCTCCCCATATGCAGCACCTAAGAGAGCACAGCTCCCATGAGGTCCCGGGGCGGCAGCTCTCTCCTCACAGCTGGGCTCGAGTTCACAGGGCCTCATGGGAAATGTAGTTCTCCCTCCGTGGCCGCCGCCACATTCTCCCACGCATTTGCAGACTTAAGTTATTGCTGAGGGGCGCCTTGACATTGCTGAAACCAACGCCTTCGCTTATAGATGGGGGACCAGAAGGCTAGAGAGGCTGAGTGCGCTAGCCCAGGGTACAGGGCGAAGGTCTTTGTGGCCTTTTCGTGAGTGGTGGAGGGTTGTTTTTCTCCCACACTTTTTTTTTTAAAGCCTGGGGAAACAGGCCAGAGGTTGAAAGTTTGTCTCAGATGCTGAGACAGGCACAGAAGCCAGCCCTTCCTGTCTCCCAATGGGCCCAGACAGAGGAGACGTTTGGGGAAGGGGGGCGCTTCTCTTACCCGGGGTTCCCCTCCCACTTTTAAGTCTCTCTACCATCTCTCCAGGGTTGAAAAGAGGCGTCTGCGTGAAGATCAACCATTTCCCAGAGGACACGGACTACGACCATGACAGCGCGGAGTATCTGCTCCGTACGTGGGCCCGGAGTTGGTGGGGCGCGGAGAGCGGGCTGGGGCGCGGCAGTTAGAACAACACGCAACTTGCCAGCCAATCCAAGTCTAGATACTGGGATCCTCTGGTCGCCGATTGGCTCGGTGGTCCTGCTCCGCCCCCTCCTCTCACCGTGGGGCGGGCCGAGGAGGGATCCCGGGAACTAATTGGCCTCCTTGCTGTCTGAGAACTCGCGGCAATACTGCGCTGTGACTGGTGGTCGACTTCTGGGCTGGGATTGGCCACCGCTCCCAGAGCTGTGAGGCAATCTGAGGCGCGGACTGGCCACTCGCGAGAGCCCTCCGGGGAAGCCTGTGCGGCGATTGGTAGCTACCTCGAGAACGCGGCAAATCCTCAATTATGATTGGCCACGGCCTCTGCTCAGAAATCGCAAAATCTGTTTGCCTGGGACTTGGGGGGTGGGTGGAAAGCACTGCAGAAAGAGAATGACAAAAAGATAGAGGGAGAAATGAGAGGAAGAGAAAAGAAGCCCAGAGCAAGAAAAGGAACCGAGCAGGACCGAAGGAGGGAGAGAAACCCCGAGAGATGAGGCCAGGCAGAACAACACTAAGAGATTTGATAGAAAGGGATCTGGAGAAAGGAAAGGAACGCGCAGAAGAGGAGCGTGCAGAAAAGAAGGAAAAAGGGCGAGGGGCACAGAGACAGAGAAGTTCAGAGAAAAGCAGTGATTGAGAGAAATAAAATGGAAAAAATATTCCAGGAGAGAGAAAAATAGACCGAAGAAGACAGAAAAGGACGGAGAAAAAAAGGGAGAAGAGATCAGACCGAGAAATGGAGGAATTGTAAAGGGAGAATGAAATAGCCAGAGCGCAGGCGGAGAGGGACACTTGAACTGGCGAGGAGAGGGGCGAGAGCGGGCGGGCCGCCGCGCCTGGTGCCGGTGTCCCACCGCTCCGTCCCCCTTCTCCCTGGCAGGGGTGGTCCGGGCCTCCAGCATCTTCCCCATCCTCAGCGCCATCCTGCTGCTGCTCGGGGGCGTGTGCGTGGCAGCCTCCCGGGTCTACAAGTCCAAGAGGAACATCATCCTGGGCGCGGGGATCCTGTTCGTGGCAGCAGGTGAGAGGCAGAGTGAGGGGGCCGTCAGCGGGGCGCGCGCGTATTTGTGTGTGTGCACGCGTGTGCGCGCGCGCGAGTCTGCAGAGCCACTCGGCCCCGGGGCCCTCCTGGGGCCCAGAGCCTTCCTGGGCTCTTCCCGAGCTCCTTCGACACCCGCTGGGCCAGGTAGGTGTTGCCATCGCGCCGTCTTCGAGGGAGTGAACCAACACAGACAGGTGTCTAGCGCGTAATCCGGGGTGAGGGGAGCTCACTTTCCAAAGCCCACGACTCTGGAGACTGAAGGGGAGGCACTTGGGCCTTGAGACTGAATTGGTGTCTGGAAGATAGAGGAGGGGAGCTGACATCGGGGAGTCGGGGGGAACGGGTCCGAGAAGGAGAAGGTCTTTTGGATGCAGATGGGGAGGAACATGTTCTGCGAGACGGGGCCTTGCGGATCCAGGTGGATCCGAGATGAGGCTGGTTCTAGGAAACCATCCAGACCAACTCCAAGTGAGGCATGTCTTTAAGGGGTAAGACCCCCTTCCTACCTGAAATGAGTTGTGCTGGGAAATTCCAGGGATCCCGAGGAGAAGGGGAGGATTTTGCCTAAAGAGCAGGGGTGCTTTGGGGATGGGTCAAAGTCTGCAGGGGGCGGGGCTTGGAGGATAAAGGCGGGGCTAGCTACACCCGGGACTGGGAAGGAGACCCACATGGGGCGCTGTTTGGCAAACTGGAGGTGAGGCTTAGGGTAGAAGGGGAACCTGCTCTAGTAAGGGCGAATTTTAGACCAGCAAGGGGAGGAGGGCCTTGGATGGTGACCGGGCTGGGAAGATACCATGGAAGGCCTGGAGTCAGAGTGGGATTATCTCGTTAACAAGGGTTTAAACTTTAGAGGGTGTGGCGTCGGGGAAACCCAGGCTGATAAGGGTGAGAGAGACCATCAGAGTGGGCCTGGAAACCCAGGCCGGGATCTTCTCGAGGACGGAGTTTCGACGTGGCAGAGCAGGGTCTGGGCCAGTCGGGCTGGGTTTAGACCAGATCCGTGGAGGTGGAGTCTGCCTGGGCCATCTCGGGTTGGAGCACAGATCAGATTGGAGGTCAGACCAGGTGGGACAGGGCTTGGGCCACCCAGGGTGGGTCTGGGCCACTTGGGGCGTGGCAGAGGCCCCCTCGGGGCAGGGCCTGGGCCACCTGGGATGGGGACCACTGGGGCAGGGGGCCCTTCGAGGCAGGACCTAGACTACTCGGGTACAGCTTAGACCAGCACGGGGTGGGATCTGGGCCAGGTGGGGCTGAGCTGGGCCGCCCAGGATAGGTCTTGGGCCATTGGGGCGGGGCCTAGACCACCCGGGGGTGGAGCTTAGGTCGGTATGGAGCCGGACTTGGATCAGATGGGGAGCAGTTTAGACCACCTTGGATGGCGTTTGGGCCATGGGGTGGGGCCAAGAACGTCCAAGAGTAGAGCTTCCACCAGCATGGTGTGGAGTTTAGACCACCTAGGACCTGGCTTGGGGCCCTTGGGGACGGGACCTTGACCACCAGGGGCGGGGCCTATCCATATGGGTGGGGCTTAGCGCAGTGGGGACGGGGCCTTGGCCAGCTGGGGAGGAGTTTCTGTCACCTAGGATAGGGCTTGTACCATTGGGGCGGGATCTAAACCACCCAGGGGTGGAACTTAGGGCAGCACGGGGCGGGGCCTGGGCCCGACGGGGCGGGGCCTAGTCCGCCCGGAGGCTTCAGGGGGCGGGCGCGGGCCCGGGCGTGGGCGGGGCGGGCCAGGTTGGCCTCGAGGCTCCCGTCTGACCGTCCCTGCCCAGGCCTGAGCAACATCATCGGCGTGATCGTGTACATCTCAGCCAACGCGGGCGAGCCGGGCCCGAAGCGGGACGAGGAGAAGAAGAACCACTACTCGTACGGCTGGTCCTTCTACTTCGGCGGGCTGTCGTTCATCCTGGCCGAGGTGATCGGCGTGCTGGCCGTCAACATCTACATCGAGCGCAGCCGCGAGGCGCACTGCCAGTCTCGCTCGGACCTGCTCAAGGCCGGCGGGGGCGCGGGCGGCAGTGGCGGGAGCGGCCCCTCGGCCATCCTCCGTCTGCCCAGTTACCGCTTCCGCTACCGCCGCCGCTCCCGCTCTAGCTCCCGCTCCAGCGAGCCGTCGCCGTCGCGGGACGCGTCCCCCGGCGGTGCCGGGGGCCCGGGCTTCGCCTCCACGGACATCTCCATGTACACGCTCAGCCGCGACCCGTCCAAGGGCAGCGTGGCCGCGGGGCTGGCGGGGGCTGGCGGCGGCGGCGGCGCGTACGGCGGCGCGGCGGGGAGCGCGGGCGGCGGCGGGGCGGGCGCCGAGCGGGACCGCGGGGGGGCGCCCGGCTTCCTCACGCTGCACAACGCCTTCCCCAAGGAGGCGGGCGGCGGCGTCACGGTCACAGTCACGGGGCCGCCCGCCGCGCCCGCGCCCGCGCCTCCAGCTCCCGCCGCGCCCGCTCCCGGGACCCTGGCCAAAGAGGCCGCCGCCTCCAACACCAACACGCTTAACAGGAAAACCACGCCGGTGTAGGCGCGGGCCGAGGGGTGTCCGGGCGCGTGCGCTGGCGCGCGTGCAACCAGGCCGCCGGGTGGGGCGCCCTCCCTCCCCGGAGCGCGCTGGAGACTGCAGGCCCCGCGCGCCCCGTCCGGCCCCGCCCTGCGAGGCGGGGACCCCAGGGCGGGGCACGCGCGGCAGGGAGGGGCCCTCGGGAGGAGCGCCGGGTTTTATTTTGGGCGGGAGGTGGGAGGGGGGTGGGCTGTGGTGTTTTTTGCAGTTTTGAGATGTTTTCTTTTTAATGTTTTGCTGTGTGCATGTGGTGGCGGGGCGGGGGGAGGGAGGGACCCCCAGCCCAGCCCAGCCCAGCTCCTGGAGAGGGGCCCATGCACAGGAGCACAGTTACCACTGCGAACTATCTGTGTGTCCTGCATAAAGAGACGGACAGGAAAAGAGGAGGGGGACGCAGACAGGCAGATGACAGGGGATGGACGCGGGCATTCATTCATTTTTTTCATTCATTATTCCTCAAGGGCTTATTAAGCGCCTGCTGTGCATCAGGAAGGCGCCCAGAGAGGGAACATAAACAGGCACAGAGAGTGACTCGTTTGTTCATTACAGGCAATTTATTCGTGTACCTAAGGGCTAGGCATTGTGCTGAACGCTGAGCTTGCCGAAGGGAGGAAGACAGACAGGGTCCTCCGCCGCCTCAGAGAGTTTAACCTCTGATGCAGGAGACAGGCATTTGCGGGAGAACTGTAAAAGGGCTTTGGTTACAGTTAGGACATAGGGGAAATCTAAAATGCTACCTAATGCAAACTCCAGGGAGGCTTAACCCAGTTTAAAAGGAAGGGATGATTTATCTGATACTGAAAGAATGATAAGAAACCAGCCAGCTGAAGCTGGGGGGACGTGTCCTAGCCAGGAAACAGCATACGCAAAGGTCCTGGGGAGGAAGAGCTTCTAGAGAAGGCTAACCTGTGGTGAGCCAGCTGCAGATGGAACAGAAACTGGAGAGGTAAGCAGGGCCAGACTGGCCAGGGACTTGTAGGTTAGGTCAGGAGCTTAGATTTTATTTTGAGGGCAGCGGGAAGCCATGGAATGACTTTAAACAGGAGAATACATGAATGGTGTACTACGGAGTTGGCAGGGTGGGGCCGGAACTCACAACAGTGAGAGGCAGACACTCACTGGAATTCAGCATCAAACAAGCCCTGGCCCTTGAAACACAGTCGTGGGAGGAAGCAGATAATTCCACAAATGCCAAAGCCCAGTGTGCAGGATCAGCCCTGGGACCCACAGATGTGTGTTTGACTCATTAATTCAACCACTCACTGGTTGACATTTTTGCGCCTCTGCTAAGGTGCCAGGCAGTATGTTAGAACCAGGATCCCCTGAGGTGAGGCAGACTCCCTGCTCTCAAGGAGGTGTCAAGAACTGCCATCCAGGCAGGGCGATTGGGACCACGATGGGCACCGTGGATAGAGAACACAGGGCCCAAATGTCAGGAGTGGGCAGTCCTCAGGGCAGTCTTCCCAGGGAATCTCACACCCAGCCTGGGTTTCAAATGGATGAGTAGGAGTCTGCCAGGTGAGGAAGGGGGCAAGAAGGGCTTTGGGGGCAGAAGGACAACTCGAGCTAAAGCTGGGGGAGTGACAGCATGCTGCATTGGGACAGGGCTCATAGATCTGGGACACCGAAGGATGGGGTTGGGGGCAGGCAGGGCCAGGGTTGAAGGTGCTGGAGTTCCAGGCTGAGGGCTTCGTGCTCTATTCGAAGGGTAGCAGGAGGCACAGGAGTTGAAAGTGGGTTTCCCTTCCCTTGATGAGCAGATGTTCCCTGAGGTCTCCCACGGGAGAGGCCCAGTGCTCACGAGGCTGGGAGTGCGGAGTGGCTCAGAGCATGCCCTGCCCTCAGGGGCTCCCAGGCTGGTGGGAAGATGGACATGGACTGGGAGAAGTGTGTGATGGTGCCGTGCTGCCGGGGGCTCTGTCAGCCTTTCTGTTGATAATACGGGGCAGCAGAAGGGTGGAATGGGGAGATGGGGTCAGACGGGTATTGGGGATTTCTTTCTGGGGCCTGTGTAGCTGGACTAGAAAGGAGGGTAGGGACCATGGGGACAGTTTCAGGGGGAGAGGCTGGAAAATGTGGCGAAAGGAATGCAAGCACGTATCGGTGGAGTTGAAAGAGAGTTTGCTGGCAGACGGTTCTTTGGTGGAGATGGGGGTAAACCTGGTTAGGGGGTGGTGGGTGCTAGGAAGCAAGGGCCAGCAGCAAGGAAGAGGTGGAAGATGGGCCAAAGGGGGACCGGGAGTAGACGGAAAGGGGGGACGGGGGTAGAAAAGACCAAACCGAGGAGAGTCACAGAGACGCAGAGAAAGAGTGAAGGCCCCGGAAGGTGGTCCAGTGTGGAGAACAAAAGGGACCTCAGAGTCGCAGAAAATACACAGAGATGTGTCCAGAGGCAATGTGAAGACTTTGAGGCAAGTGTAGCAGATAAGAGTGACCCATTGCTGGTTTGCTCATTTGTTTTCAGTATTCAGAAATATTGAGTGCCAGCCTGTTCTAGAGCCAGTCTAGGCCCAAGGAATATGGGGGTGAAGATGGTCAAGGTCCTGCTCTCCCTCAAGGAGAGGCAGTAAGAACTTCAGTTACTGGGAAGTGCTTTCAAAGCTAAGCAGGCTGTGGTGGCAGGGACAGGCAGGGACAGGACGGGGTGCCTCTAGAAGACCTCACCGCAGGTAATGTCTGAACAGAGACCCGGGCTGTGGGAAGGACGGGGCCAGGACAAGCGATCTGGTACCATAGGCAGCACCACAGCCCCGAGGAGTCGCAGGTCTGCGAGGACTCCCGTGGTGGGTGGACTAACGTGGTGAGCCACGGGGCCTGAGGACAGAAGTGTAGGCTGGGGCCTGGTTGCGTGGGGGCCTCGTGGCCTTGGGAAGAAATTTGAATTTTATTCTAGACTCTGAGGGAAGACTGAGCACAGGGAGGACATGATTGTATTACTGAACACAGCACGAACAGCAAACGGAACATCTGTGCTGAGACAAGATTTCAGAGTGAAAAGGCGAGTGAGGAGCTAGGGGACTGTTGTCCTGTCCCATTGAGGCAGATGGCAGCCTGGCCCAGGGTGCAGTCAGGGAGGAAGGGGAGTGAATTGGGCAGAAGAGGGAGTGAGAAACCCAGGAAGCTTTTTCACTGGCCTTGCACCACTTGGGTGGGGGCTGCTGTGTATCGCCCAGCATGGGCCCTGGGGGAGGGGATCAGGATCTGGGTGGAAGAAACCCAGCCCCCTCCCCCACCCATGGCACATTGGGTTGCCTGAGAAAGCCAAGTTGGGCATGGGATAGCCAGTGGGATGTGTGAGCCTGCAGCAGAGGCCAGGGCTGGAAATGCCAGTTGTGGAAACATCAGCATATAGGAGACATTGAAAGCCGCAGGACCGGATGAGGTGACCTAGAGGTTGGGTGCAGACAGAGGTGGTCCTGGGGACAGCCCTGGGATATGTGCATCAGCAGGAGACGATGTAGCCAGGAGCAACCGCGAGGTAGGTGGAGGCCAGAAGGAACGCCAGCTGTGCCAAATACTGCCAAGGCCTGAGAAGCCAGGAGCAAAGTGATGTTCGGTTTGATGACGGGACCGCGATAAGAGGTCATTTCAGTGGTGAGGCCAGATGGCTGCTTGGGTGGAAGGAGGAAGGATGTGGAGGATGGGTGGGGCAGGCCTTTTTCATCCTTTCGGCATGAAAGTGACAAGGACTTTACCAAAGAACGTTCATACCCTTTCCGTGAAAGGAGAGAAGGGGAGAGACTGGCTGAGGGAGATGGATGGAGGGCAGAAAATACCCTTGGAAAGGAGAGTTGTCCGCAGGCAGGACCAGGCAGGAGGGGGGACCCAGAGCCAGTGGGGGAGGATGCTGGGGTGGGGCAGGGCAGCGGGGCTGCAGGGTGGCATGCCTGCTCCGAGGGCGGGGCCCCTCTGCCAGCCCCCTCCTGCTGCTGCCAGCCCAGGCACACCCTGGGTCCCCTCTGGGTCCTGGCAAGTCCTGGGCAGACCAGTGAGGTGATGTAAAGGGCAGGTTTCCCTCATTTAAGCACCAGGTCCTGAGGCCTCCCAGGTGCCAGGCCTTGCAACCAGAGCTGCCCTGGTGGGAGACCAGCAGCCAATTGGTGTGCAGAGGTGGGCATGTCTGGGAGGGGGCACACAGGCACTGGGGAGATGTGGGCACCTTGCCCTGCGTGGAGGTGGTGTGTGTGTCAACATGTCACTATATCCATGCATTCATTTGCTCATTCAAGTCACCAAATGCACCTTTCCCAAGGCCTCCCAGGCTGGGCGGCACTGGGACACGCAGATGAACTCCCCATGTCCCGGGGCTCTGCCCCCAGCAGCTGGGAGAGCCAAGCACAGACGCACAATCATCCCAGGGTAACTCACGCTGCAGGGGGAGCTCCACAGCGGCTGTGGGCATCCAGAGCAGGGAGGGCAGAGAGGGCACCTGCCCTATGCCCTGCTGGAGCAGCCACCCTGGCCAAGGAGCTGGGGAAGGTGGGGCCCAGGTCTGCAGAAGGGCTGAGAGGGGGTGAGGAGGTGAAGACCAGGCCCTGCTGCCATTCCACACAGCTGTCCCCAACCCCGCCCCTGCGGGAGCTGAAACTGCATGGAAGGTCCCCCAGGGGCCCATCTAATAAACTCGATGAAGAGGACTGTGGCTCTGGTTCCCACACCCTGAACCCAGCCTCTCCCCGAGGCCTGCACTTGCTGCCTCCTGGGGGGCTGGGGATCCCAGTGGGGGGCCCTGTCCTTCCATCCATCAAGACAAGGGGTCTGGGCCCCAGCCCTTCCTCAGACCCGGGAGGCCAGGCTCTCACCCTCCTCCCCCAGACCCAGGCCCCCCCCCCCCCCCCCCCAGACCCAGGCCCCCAGCCCCCTCCCCTCAGACCCAGCCCCCCAGGCCCCTCCCTCAGACAGAAGCGGGAGATCCCTGCCAAGTCCTGCCTGGGACCCAGAAGCCTAAGTGTCTGGTCCCCTTTGGGCCCAACAGTTGAGGTTCCAACCAGCCTGGGCTGCTCTGGCGAAAAGTCCAGGTTCCCGTCCCTGCCCCCTCCCCGCCCCGCCACCTGGGAGGGGGGACCCTCGGCTCCAGCGCTTGCCACTTAAGGAAATGAAAGTCCGTCCAGACTCCAGCCGGGTCAGGCCCCGGCCCCCAGCCCCTCCTCCCCGGGCGGCCTCCCTCCTCCACCCGTGTCCCCTTAAAATACCCGGGGTCCCTATGGCAACAGGCGCTGGGCGACAGGTGCGGGTGTTATTTACGGGTCGAGCCTGAAATAGCCGCGAGGGTGGGGTGGGCTGATGGGGGCGAGGCTGCGGCGAGCGCCGCGGCGGGTGCGGGCCGAGCCGGCGGCGGCGTGCGGAACCGACGGCCCGGAGGCCTCGCGGAGCTGGGGTCGCCGCGGCGCCGAGGCAGGAGAGCGAGAGGGGGCCCCGCCCAGGAGCCGGGGGTGGGAGGCCTGCGGGAGGCGCCGGGTCTGGAGCCGAGCCTGGAGCCGTCCCGGCCGGGCAGGCCCTGGGAGCCCGGGGGAGGGGAGCCCAGCTATCCGGAGGGACAGAGTCCCTCCCGGGTCCCAGTTGTCCTTTGCCCCATTTTCTGAGCCTCAGCGCGGACCACAGTCCTCTGAGCCCCCGGGGGGACCTGGGGTCCCCGTCCTGAGCCCTGGGGAGCCCTCCAGGCCCTCCTCTGGACCCCGCTGTGTCACTGCCCCAGTGCAGACCTCTGAAGTCGCTGAGTGGCCAGGGACACCCCCATCCCCTTTTCCATTATTCCCGCAGGTCCCAGCCCTCGGGGCGTGGGGCGCTCTGCTGCCGCTTCTGTGAATTTGGGGCTCCTGCTGCCTCTCTGAGACCCAGGAGGAGTTCTGCCCATGCTTTCTGAGCTTCCCTGGGGACCCCAGCTCTTCTTTTGAACCCCCAAGGGACCCAGCTCCACCCTCTCCGGACTCTGAGCCCTAGAGAAGGCACGGTGTCTCCTTTCAAACACATAGAGGACCTCAGCAGCCTTTCTTGGGTACCCCAACCTCTGAACCTGAGTGGGGTTCTCAGATCCCTGTCCTGGGGACACCCAGTTTCCCTTTGGTGGGGACCCCAGAGCAGCTCTGTAGAGCGCCAGCCGGCAGGCCCCCCTCCTGGGTACCCAGCTTCTAGCTCTGGGCCCAGGGAGACCTTGCTTTCCCTGGGTCCCATCTTATTTGCTGAGTTTCTGTGGGGACCCCAGGCCCCCTTCTGAGCCTCAGAGGGCTTCCTGTCTGGGGGCCTCGCTTTTCTCTCCTAAGCCTCAGAGGCGAGCCGGACTCCCCGTTTGAGGCCCCAGGGAGGATTCACATCCCCCGGTTTCACAAGTCCCGTGGAAGCTGAGCCCCCACGCCCTCAGGACCCCGGCGCCCCCCTCCCTGCTCCTGTGCGGCCCGGGACCCCTCCCCGGCTCTGCCTCCCGTGCACCTGCTCCCAGCCGCCGCAAGGACGATGATGTGGTCCAGCTTCTTCATGCAAGAGGAGGGCCGGCGGCGCGGGGCCGCGGGCCGGCGGCGGGCTCGCGGGCAGCGCAGGTCCGGGCTGGCGCCGGCGCGCGAGGGCAGTGTCAAGCTGGGGCTGCTGCTGACGGCCGTGGGCGCCACGCTGGCCGTGCTGGCCGTGGGCACCGAGTTCTGGGTGGAACTCAACACCTACAAGGCCAACGGCAGCGCCATCTGCGACGCTGCCCACCTGGGGCTCTGGAAGATGTGCACCAAGAGGCTGTGGCAGGCCGACGTGCCCACGGGCAGAGAGACGTGCGGCCCAGCGGAGCTGCCTGGAGGTAAGCGCGCCCCGCCGGGCCTGCCCCGCAGACCGCGGAGGGTGGGGTGGGGGCGTGGCGGAAACCGCGCCCGGAGTCAGCTGAGCCCCGGAGCGCCCCTACCCTCAGAAGGGCCCGCACCCGCGTCCACCTGTGCCCCCCAGCAACCTTGGCCCCGGGCACAAACGGTGCACAGTCTGCACCCCCAGACTCGCTGTGCTCCCAGACCAGCTTTTGCCTCCAAACGTGCCTGTACCCCCAGACCAGCCTCTGCCTCCAAACCTGCCTGTACCCCCAGACCTGCCTCTGCCCCAGACCAGCCTCTGCCCCCAGATCTGCCTGTACCCCCAGACCAGCCTCTGCCCCCAGACCTGCCTGTACCCCCAGACCTGCCTGTACCCCCAGACCAGCCTCTGCACCCAGACCTGCCTGTACCCCCAGACCAGCCTCTGCACCCAGACCTGCCTGTACCCCCAGACCTGCCTCTGCCCCAGACCAGCCTGTATCCCCGGACCTGCCTGTGACTCCAGACACAGCTGGTGCCCTCAGACCACCTGTGTCCCCCAGAAATGACTGCATCCACTGAGAGAGCTCCTGCCCCTTGAGGGCTCCTGGGTTCCTGGGGCGGGCTTGCCCCTCCCGCACTGGAGACAGACGGCACTCCATCCTGTGGTCCCTGGGGAGACAGGTGGCTTTGATGCCCTCCCCAGAGTAGGATCTGTGCCTGTTGCCACCTACTGATTCCGCCAAACCGAGCTCTCCAACATCCCGGGCAGGCCTCGTGCTTCCCCAAGTGTGCCGCGTTTCCCATCCCTCTCACCTCTGAGTGCCCAGACCCCACCCTCCAGCCCTTCTCATCTCCTCTCACGGACAGCCCTCCCACACACACCTTCCCCGGAGCGGCTCCCTTACCCTGAGCTCTGCCAGGGAGCTACCCAATCCTGTCACTCCCCCTAACAGGACATGCCATGCCCTTTGCTTATACCAGTGGGACATCCTATACCCCATGGGAACGGGAATGGGATCTTGCTGCACCTCTACTGACCCAAGGAAACTATCTGACATCCCTCAGGGCCCCTTCAGGACATCATCTGCTCCATCAGCCATATGAGATCACCCTACTCTTTACTTACTATGAGCTCAGTACCCCTCAAAGATGTCCTATCCCTGGACTCCAGATAGGATATCTTATATCCATAGGGTCCTAAGTAGGATGTCCCAAGCCCTTGGGAGCAACCTGGGATGCCAAACTCCCCTTGTTGTCTGAGGTGTCCACCCACCCAGCACCCAGATTAAACACGTCACTTCTGCAAATTGGCTAATTCTCACTCCTTGGAGCCTCAAGCAGGAAGTTGCCAAACTTCTGCAAAATTGGGTGTCCTGGTAATAAAAACATTAGATACTTATCTAGCGCCCAGCTCTGTTCTAAGTAGTCCACGTGCATTAACTCATTAACCCACATAGCAATCCTGTGAGAAATTATTACCATCTCCTTTCTGCAGAAGAGAAAAACAAGAAGCATTAGATGTAAGTGGAGCCGTCTATGCACCCAGGCTGGTCACATGGGCTTTGAATCCTGGTTGTTTCTGTTCTTAATAACTACGTTATACTTCATTTCACTAGTAGTCCATAAAGATGTCCCAAAGGTCCTCGGGGCACCGGAGGGGGTGTCCCAACCCACCTCACTGCACAGGATGGAGTCTCTCACATCCCTTAATGTCCCGCGATTGGTCAGAAAGACTTCAACCTCTCTACAGGACCACCACCATCATCCCACAATCCCCCAAGCCCCCCCAGAGGACTGCTCACAATAACTTTTATTATCTCAGCAACACCCCACACACCCCACTGTCCTTTAAGGGGTATCCCATATTTCCCTTGGCGGCAAGAGGGGTCACCATATCCAACTCCTTTCCAAATGGGACATGCCGTCTCCTCTGGAGTCAGGGACAAAATGTCCTAAGTCATTCGTAGCCCAAACGGGATGCCAGACACCCCACATGCTCTTAGAAAGATGCACTTCACCTGCCTACTCTCTAGATGGGGCTTCCCTTTTCCACTGTCAGCGAAGATCACGTTTCCCCCACTGACTGCTACAAATAGTGTCCCCTTTCCTATTTCTTCTACCCGTCTTCCTCTCTACCTCTCTGGTCCCTGTTAGTGTCTCAGTTTCCCCATCTGGAGAAGGAGAAAGTTGGACTAGGTGAATTCTGTGGAAATTTCTGGCTTTAAAATGCAGTCTAGAAAATGCCTTTTTTTTTTTAAGTTTGGGGTTTCCTGGACCTCAAGTACACAAATTTGGATGAATCACTGACTTTGGTTTATATCACAAAATCACTAACAGACTTTGTGAGATCGCTCTTGTGCTTTATCTTAATATTCTTTTTCTTCACTCCTTCCTAACTTCTCTCGTTAATGTGTTTGATAGGCACTCATGGATAGGTACTTTAACTTACTTTATATCTGTGTTTTAATTTATGTAAATGATATCTCGCTACAGATTTTTTCCTGTTTTTTTTTTTTCTCCTCAGTACTGCTTCCAGATCTCTCCGTGATGCTTTCTAGCTTGTAACTACACTGTGCTGCAGAGATTTGCACAGGGAACATCCATCACATTTACTTCGTTCCCCCAGAGATGGACACCTAGGTTGACGCCAACTCTCTGTTATTCTAATAGTGCTGCAGTGAACATCTCCACATCCCTTCCTGCATGTGGTTTTTGCCTGACGTACACTCAGGAATGAAATTGTTGAGTTATAAGATATAAACATCCTTCATTTCGTAAAGTATGTCAGAGTGCTTTTCAGACAGCCCAGTACCAGCTTACGCTGGCAGCTGTTGCCCCTTATCCTTCCAGTGCTTGATCTTGTATTTGTAACCTAAGTGATCTGAAGGGGCACCTCCCCGCTGATTTAAGTTGCCTTTCTGTGATCCCTGGTGAGTTGGAGCATCTCTTCATGTACTTGTGAGTCATCCAGGTTTCATCTTCTGGGAATTGACTATTCATATCCTTTGCTCATTTTTCAGCTGGGTTACCTCTCTTTTTGTGGATCTGCAGGAGCTCTTTGTGTATTTAGGTGGCAGTCCTTTCCGAGATGAGAATCTCTTTGAGTCTGCTAGCCTTCTGTTGTCTGTGTCTTGGTGTCCTTTGTGGAATAAAGTGATTATCCAATGTCTCATCGCACTTGACTGCCAACAAACCCATGTGATAGAGCCAAGAAAGAGACTGCTGTCTCATGTCATAGAGGAAGATTTAGAGGCCCCAGCGATGTCAGCAGCCCACTGAGTCACAGATCCGGACCTCAGGTCTCTGTTTTAGAAGCCCAGCTCCTGAAGAGCTGTGTGGCAGCAGGTGGCTTGTATTTCTCTCCTCTGTACATCAGGGATGCTAATGTCACGTTTTTAGGCTGCTGTGAGTTGGGTTAAATGTCCAGTCTTGAGCTTACACCAAGGACCTACATGTCATCGCCTCCCCTTTTCTCTCTCCTTCCTGAAGAGCTGTGTGGCAGCAGGTGGCTTGTATTTCTCTCCTCTGTACATCAGGGATGCTAATGTCACGTTTTTAGGCTGCTGTGAGTTGGGTTAAATGTCCAGTCTTGAGCTTACACCAAGGACCTACATGTCATCGCCTCCCCTTTTCTCTCTCCTCCTGCTCCCACAGAAGCAAACTGCACCTATTTTAAATTCTTCACCACGGGGGAGAATGCACACATCTTCCAGAGAACCACAAAGAAAGGTGAGATCTTTTCACCCCGTGGTGGGGTGGTGGGGAGGAGGTGCTGACCATGCCCGGGGACCTTTTGACAGCATTGTCTTCTTCTTTGCTTTGTGTCGGGGGTTGGGGTGGGGGGCTCAGCTCCTGTGTCCCAGGGAGGTCGCATCTCTGGGGGGGAGGTGGTTCTCCCCTGCTCCCCATGCTCCTACCCCAGGTCTGCCTTTGCCATATGCTGTGCAACTTTGGTGAGTTAAAACCCCTCTGTGGGCAGCATTTTAACATCTGTACATCTGCCACGTGCTGAGCATGGCCCTGGGCATTGCATCGATAAGAATTCCAGTCCTTGTCATGACCCTGTAGCACAGGGGCCTCATCTTCATCTTCCCGATGAGAAGATGGAAGTCCATAAATGGTTAAATTTATTTTTCCCAGGAAATGGTAGAGGCAGAGACAGGATTTAAAACCCAAACCATTCAAACTCGAAACCAGTCCTCTCCTACCGTCTTCTGTGAAAATGGCAGCGTCCTCTGTCTGTGCCCACCAAGACAGTAGCCGCAGGGGCCATGTGGCCGCTGAACCCTGAGAATGTGACTGATGCAACTGAGGAACTGAGTTTTGAATTTTAATTTAAAGCCACTTAAAATTTAAAGACCACATGTGGCAGTGGCCATTGTGCTGGCCAATGCACAGCTCTTAGGACTTCACCCTTTCCTTTCAGTACCTCGCTATCCCCGCCAGTGAAATAATTGTGAGCCTGTCATGACGCTGGTCTTTGTAAGGATTTAATGAGATGATGCAACTGAAACACACAGGTAGTGCCAGGCACGCAGTAGGTCCTCATGCATAGTGTTCTCACTCCTCTCTTGTCTTCGTCCTAAGTGAGCTCTGACAACTCACTGTCCTCCTTCAGGATAGTAAAGTAATCGTAGTGCACACGTGTGGAACACTGCTGTGGGCCGACCCTGCCCCGGGCACTTTACACATGTGATTTCTAATCCTCACGACAGCCAATCAAGGAGAGATTTTGGTCCTGGTTTTCTAGAGGCGGAAACAGGCTCAGAGAGCTTCAGTGACTACCAGAATCTTCCAGCTAGGAAGTGGCTGGGGAGAATTCCGACTCGGATCATCCTGCCTTCTCTGTCATCTCCCACACACCCATTCCTCAGTGTTCTCACCTGTAAACAAACAGTGACCACATCATAAAATAATCAGTAGCCCCCATCTCCCTCGAATCCTGGCTCTGTCCCCGCCTTGCTCTGTGCTCTTAGGCAAGTGACTGACCCTCTCTGGGTTTTAGTTCCTTCAGTAGTGTAAGTAGAATATTGGGCTGGATGACCTTCTACTTGCAACTTCTTCTCCAGTCCTGAATCTTCCATCTTCCTGGCTCCAGCACTGCCTACATCCTGTGTACTCTGCTTCTGTCCTCTCCCCGTCCTCATAGAGGTGAATCTGGTGGCTGCTGTGATGGCAGTTCTGGCCTTGGCGGTCATGGCCTTGGGGTGCCTTTCTATCATCATGGTGCTCAGCAAAGGTGCAGAGTTCCTCCTCCGAGTTGGAGCCTTCTGCTTTGGCCTCTCAGGTGAGGTTGAGAGCCTGGAGACAGGGCACTGCATGCTGGGAGGTCAGAATTGCAAGCACTGTTGCATGCTGGGAGTTTGGACTTCCAAGCACTGTTGCATGCTGGGAGGTAGGTTCTCTAAGCATTGCTGCATGCTGGGAGGTAGGCTAAGCACTGTTGCATGCTGGGAGGTTGGGTCTCCAAGCACTGTTGCATGCTGGGAGGTGAGTTCTCTAAGCATTGCTGCATGCTGGGAGGTTGGGGCTCCAAGCACTGTTGCATGCTGGGAGTTGGGGGAAGCCCAAGGACTAGAGTAGGCTCACAGATGGGAGAATTCTGAGATCTGTTGTTGCCTGAGGTTTGGAGGGTCTCCAAACACTGTTTTAGATTTAGACCCAGGATTTCCAAGGATTGTTGTATGCTAGGAGGTGTTATCTTCAAGCTCAGAAGATGGGGGTGTCTGGGAGGTACCCGCAAGCACATTTGTATGCTGTGAATTTAAGCTCTAGAAGGGCTCTAGAAGTCTCAAAGATCAGAGAATTCTAAGCCCTGTTGGCTGGGAATGGGGTGAGGGTGTCTTCAGATATTTTTGATATTTGAACCTGGGATTCTCAGGCACTGTTGCTTGCTGGGAGGTTGGGGGAGTTCTGTAAGCACCACTGCATGCTGGGAGCACAAGGGCTGTAGTGGGCTCAAATGTGAGAGGGTTCTGAATGCTGTTGCTGCCAGGGAATTGGAAGGGCTCCAAGCACTCCCTTAGATTGGCCCTGGGCTCTGCAGGGACTGTGGCATTCTTGGAGTTGAGGGTCCAAAAGAATGTCACATCTTGTGAAATATAGTCCTCATTGGTGGCTAGAAAGGTTATTCATTTACATAAGCTTCATTTATTTATCCTTTGTATTAGCTGAGCACATACTATGGTCCCAGCACTGTGCCAAGGGCTAGAGATATAAGATTAATAAGACAGACACCGTGTCTGCCCTCATGGACTCTAGATTCTGGCAAAGACAGTAACCAATAATCACACATGTCATAATTCAACCGTAATTGTGAAGGGAATTATGATAAAGCATTAGGAGTATGCACTGTGGGGGAGGTGTGCAGAGGAACTCCCTGCGACACGACATCTAAGCTGGTAGTTGAAGAATGGAAAGGAACTGCCCGAAGTAGGGTGGTGATGGTGGTGGTGGTCATATTGGTGATACTGGTGATAATAGTGGTGGTAGCAATATTAGTGATGTTATGGTGGTGACCGGGATGGTAATGGTGTGATGGCGGTGATAGAACAGCATGTGTGAAGGCTGTCAAAGACTTGGCAAGTTTGAGGAAGAGAATGAAGATGGGAGCATAACGCAGGGTAAAGTTTGCCCAAGTGGCCATGAGAACCTTACTGAGCAAGTGAGGGAGGCCCGGTACAGACTCTAGGCTGCATTCTCCAGGCCCTTGATTAAAAATCACGGAGGAAGTAGAGTGCAGGGCGGATGGAGAGTCAAGGATTGAGGCTGGGACTAGACTTCAGGGTCTGAGAGGGGAGGCAGCCAGGACCCATGGCTTGTGGATGACCGTCACATGCTCCTACATGATCTGACCCCTGCCCACCTCTGTAGTTCCATTGCCTGCACTCTCCCCACCTACTTCCTGGCTCCAACCACACTGACCTTTCTTTTCCTCAAACACACTATGTTCCATTCTACCACAGGGCCTTTGTACCAGCTGTTTCTCCTGCTTGAAAGGCCATTGCCTAGTTTTGTGCATGGCTGGCTTCTTTTCATCCTTGGGCCTCAGCTCAGATGGCTTTTCCTGATGATACCACTTAAAGTCCTTGCTCCGTCCCTGGATATCACCCCACTTCCCAATGCCTTGCTTGTATCTCCTCCCTGGTGTGCTTCACTCTCTGAAATTATTTTGTTTCCTCATGTGTTTACTTTGGAGGTTACAATCTGGCCACCCACAGGCCAGTGGTGGCCCATAAATGTACTTTGTTTGGCAGGCGGTGTATAAGGATTTCTCTGAGCCAATATTTAAAGGAGTGGTGAATTCCCATAAAAATTATAATCGTTTAAAAAATTCTAGCTCTTCTTGAAAAATCAGAAGATCTGGCAAATTAAGTCCCCATGTCTGATGGGCAGCCGATGGCTGAAGCTGAGTTTTAATTACTCTTTGTTATTGTTCCCACCACACTTAAGCCACTTCATTCACGTTACACTTTCTCGTCACCTCCTGTGGGCATTTGAGTTTTGCACGCCTCGGCTTATTTGTTCACCAGTTACATCCTCCAAGTAGAAGATAAGCTTCATGAGGTCAGGGGCTTTGTCTCCCTCATGTTTTGTTTTTTCCTTCTTCTTCTTTTTTTATTTTAAATCAAGTTGCATTTCAACTTGACTCGATTGCCTTTCTTTCCGTCTTGTGATCCACCTTCACTTGTTCCCCGGCTCCGCGAGGGTGTGCTTGCCAAGTGCAAACTGTATGCATTCGGGGTTTACAAATGGACGCTGCCATTGCGAAACTACCACCACAATCAAGCTAAATAACACCCCGCTCACCTCCTGGGGTTTCCATTTTGTCTCGCAGAGAGCACACGCGCCATCCTCTCCTCTGTCAGCACGTGCAAGCACGTAATACAGCACCATTAACTGTCGTCACCGTGCTGGACACGCGGTCCCCAGGACTCATTCATCCCATGTAATCGAGTCTCTGTGCCCGCTGACCAGCGTCCTCCAGCCTCCCCTCCCCCGCCACCACCCTCCTCTGTGCTTCTATGGGTGCAGGTGGTGCAGACCATAGATCCCACCAGCACCCTTCAGAAAAGCCTCGATGTAGTCTTCAGTCGACTCTTGTGCTCTTGATTCCTTTTCCCCCCTTTTTTAAAGCAGGAAAGTACTCCTAACATAAAATTTACTGTTCAACCGTTTTGCCATGTCCATTTCTGTGGCCTGAAGCGCATTCACACTGTTGTATAACCATCACATCTCCACCTAAAGAACTTTGTCATCTTCCCAATGGAAACTCTGCCCCCATTAGGCACCGACTTCCCTGCCCTGGCCCCTTGGCCCCTGGTGCCACCTCTGTCCTCTCTGCCTCTATCAGTCTGTGCTGTGTCCCTCTACAAGCCCGGCTCCCGAAGCTGTGCCTGCTGTCTAGTGGGTGTTTAGGAAGCAGCTGTTGAATGGATGGTCTGGAGAGTGCTGGGGGGTCCCCCACGTTTCTTGTCTGAGCAAGCATGAGATGGGGTGCTTTCTGGGGGATGCTCAGACCCATGTCGGGGTGCCCAGGGGCCTGAGAGCCATGTCTGTCCTCTCCCCACAGGCCTGCTGCTCCTGGTCAGCCTGGAGGTGTTCCGGCATTCCGTGAAAGCCCTGCTGCAGAGGGTCGGCCCTGAGCCACCCCCAGCCCCGGCCCTGGCCTACGAGTACTCCTGGTCTGTGGGCTGTGGCTTGGGGGCCAGCCTGGTCCTGCTGCTGGCTGGCGGCTGCTTTCTGCTGCTCACCCTGCCTCCCTGGCCCTGGGGCTCACTCTGTCCCAAGCAGGGGCACAGGGCTGCCTAGGGCCACCGTTGTGCTTTCTCCTGGCTCCTTCTAGATGCTTCTCTTTCCATGGTCCTCATCAGAACCGTTTGCCCCACGTCCTGGAGAAGCTGTGTGCTCCCTGACATGGGGCACACGTTGTTTGCACAAACCTGCCTCTCACGGCCTCGGCTGTAAATACATTTTTCTGGGTGGCTGAATTTGGGATGCTTGGGGTGGGGTGGGGAGAGGTTTTTGCAAATGAGGGTCCCTAGGGAAGGATGGCGGGGACCTGATGGGGTAACCAGGGAGTGGGGTGGGGGTGAGGTCAGGGTTCTTGGGAGGGTGTTGGACCTGTTCGTGTCCCAGGATTTACTCACTGGTGGGAGTGACTTCTGGTGAAAGCGAACCTTGGGGAAACGGGGAGTGGGGAGGGCCAGAGCTCTGGGTACGACCCGCTGTCGTCTGGCCTGTGGGATTAAAGGTTTGGAAACTTGATTTGATTTGGAGTCTGTTTGTGAACCGACTGCACATTCTGGGGTAGAGCAAAGTGACCTCTCATGCTGTCCAGAACCCCACTGCATGCTGCCTACCAGCCCCAGAGCCACGTACCAAGGGGCCCACACAGAGTGACTGAAAACAGCATCGTCCTGAGTCTATGTCCCTCCCAAAATTATGTGTTGGGGTCCCAGCCTTCAGGACCTCAGAAAATGACCCTATTTGGAGAGAGGGTCTGTGTCTACTAATTAAGTGAAAATGAGCTCATGGTGTGGGCCCAAATGCAGTAGGACCGGTGTCGTTGTAAGAGAGACCAGGACACAGAGAGACAGGCATGAAGGGAAGATGGGGTGGAGAGACGCTGGGAGAGGGTAGGTAGTCGTCCATAAGCCAAGGGGAGAGGCCAGAAGGAGCCCTCCCTCCCGGCCTCAGGAGGCGCTGGCCCTGCCCACACCTGGGTCTCGGCCTCCAGCCCCCCAGCCCTGGACACATCCATTCTGCTGTTTCAGCCCCCCTGGTCTCTGGGGCTGTGTGTGGCACGCCTGGTAAACTGGCCCAGATTCCAGTGCCCGGATGGGTGCTGCTATGCCAGCCCGACAAGGTGGACGTGCCTCCGGAACTGGGGGTCAGAGGGCAGCTGGGCCAGCCCCAGGGGCAGGGAGGACCCCGCGGGTGGGGATGCCTGGGCGGTGGCCAGGGGAGCCCTAGAGAGCTGCTCCGTGGCCGAGAGCATGTCTGTCCTGGGGGCTGAGTGTGGGGAGAGGCTGGGGCAGCGCCGCCACTGTGACGGGGAGCGGGGCTGGAGCAGGGGCTGGGGGGCCTCGGGCGGAGCACCCGCTGGTCCCTGGGGCAAACCCATGCGCCCCTCAGACCCAGAGCTGTGGCTGCTTGTTCAGCTCTCGGAGGCCAAAGCCCCGGCAACATTTAAAAATACTTAAAATACTGACTGTGTGCTGGCTTAGGAGCACAATGTATTCAAATTCTGAGCCTGACTCTCTTAAACATGCTTATATTTTATGTATAATTAAAATAAATATAATCACATTTATAAAATAATGAATCTGATTTAATCAAATATAATTGCATCCTGTGATAAATATATTACATGGACTGTTAGATATAACATGTACTGTTATATATATGATATCTAATGAGTACTATAGAGACTATGATTATATTATACTCAATAGTCTATTTTATTAATATTATGGATATTATATTAGCATATTCTCAAACACTTTTATTTTCAATTATGAATACGATTTATATAATCATACCATATATTATAAATACAATTATATATTATATAATCATGTATAATTATAAAGTACATTATAATTTAATATACAATATTAATATCGTACCATAGAACATAAATGCTATAGCATTCATGTTACTACATTTAGTATAATATGTATAAAATATGACATTATAGTATATATGTAACATGATACTTATATAATGCAACATATTATGTAAGTATTGTAAAACATCATTAAATTGCCCCAGGGTTGAAAACGGCTTCCTTGCCAAGATTATTTAGTCTCCAGGAAATGTGGGGAACCCTTTTCTTGACTGCACCCCATCTCAGACCCACTGGCCTACTCCTCGGCAGGCCATTCTCTTCTTTATGCGCAGACCTCAGCACCAAGGACACTGCGGGGAGAGCTGAGGACGTGCATCCATGTCTTCATTCAACACAGAGGAAGTGCTGGGCAGGGCGGAGAAGGGGGGCTGTGCACCCAGACTGTCTGGCGTGGAACCCTGGCCCCACCTTCTGCAGCCTGAGCCCCTTGCTGCGGCTCTGGGCATCTCTGCTTCTTCATCCCTTGTGAGAGTTCCTGGCAGTTCCCGCTCCTGGCGCAGCTGTGGGCAGTGAACGCCGTCATAATTCTGCAAAGCCCCAGGGAACTGCCGGGCACGTGGTCGCCGCTGGGTCCTTCTTGCTGTTGTTATTTACCCAGTGGCACTTTGGGCCTGGCACATAGCAGACAGTAAAAAGGGCTCCCCAATGAGCTGACAGTCTGATGATGGAGACGGATATTAATCAGATAATCACACTAATGAATGTGATTATAAACTGAGATAAGTGCTAGGAAAAGGGATCCCCAACTATTTATTTCTACTTGACTTCGTGCCTGGCCAGCTCGGGGAAGCCCCAGGAGACGCCTGCCTCGGGCCAGGGTTCTCTGGTCTCGGGGGTGGGTGGCTCTTTGTCCGGCGGGGTCTTCACTGCGGCCCCTCTTTCCTACCCAGCATCTCTGTGCGCTTCTCCGAGGTGGGGGAAGAGAATGGACACCCATCAAGGACAAATCAAAGACAGCTGCGGTCATGGCGTCCGGGGGCATAATTCACCAAAGCGTCAACTTGCAGCTCTTCACCTTCCATTTTTAAAGTGAAGAAAAGTAGAAGCATCTTGAAATCTACAACCCTCCTTATTTTTTTTTTAATGTACCCTTTAGAGCTTTGCTCAAACATAATTTGAAGCTTACAGAGAAAATGCAAGAGTCAAAATGATGCACAATTTGAATTTGAATCCCAGAGGCAAAATAGACAAGGGTTGCCCTGATAGCCAGCTTCTGAGGAACTTCTCGGCCCTCCCCAAAGCCTTGGACACAGTCCCTCTCTCCTCCCTTCTGCCTCTCACCCTCCCTGCTACTATTACTATCACTGCTAGTAATAATAACAGCTGCCAGGCGCTAACTTCTCATTGGCGCCTGGCCCTGGACTAAGTATTCAGCATGAGTGAACACATTACATTTGAGCCTCACACCCCTATGAGATGCTCCTCTTATGCCACTGAAAAAATCAGGAAACCGAGGCACAGAGAGTTCAAACGAGTTGACCGAATCCACCCAGCTTGCAATGGTCAGAACCGCACACCTAGCTTAGCCAGAGCTTTTGTTCATCTCAAGCACATGCATTCCTGTGACAACAGGTGGATAAAGGGACAGAGTGCGGTAAGGAGCCAAAGTCCACGGCGACAGGTAAAGAGGATGCACCCTAGCGTGCTCCTGGACGTGCACACTCGCCCTGTGCTAGCCCAGAGTCTTACCCGAGGAGGAGAGAGAAGCAAGGGGAAGAAAAAAGCATGAGGTGCCCCATTTTAGTAGAGGACCCTGCAAGGGACCGAGGTAGAGCTGGGGACTAGGGTCTCTTCCATAGCTATGTGGCTGGTGAGACCGCGTATCTCCATTGCTCTTTGCAGGTAGAAGGAGGTAGGCACTCAGACACCCACTTTCTCATCAGACTGTCCTTGCCTCTCTTGGACGAGCCCCAGGGTGGTGCCAGACGAGACAGTGCACGTCCTATTTCTGTTTTCCTGTTGGACTCTAGTTTGTCAGGATGCCACCCTCTTGTTCAGCACCCACAGGAGAGGAGAGCGGTGGTGCCAAGAATCCCCCCCTTCATGTTCAGCAGAACCTGGAGGCTGGTTCATGTGACCCCCACCCCCAAGTCCTGTCATTCCTCTGGTACAGAAGCTGGGAAATGGACTATCAGGAGAGGTGAGGTAAGACAAGGGTCAGAAAAGATGCCAGGGTGGCAGGATCAGAAGTCCCAGAGGGCGCTGCAAATTTCAGTATGTCTGCTACTGCCACTGTGACGAACAGCCACCAGCTTGGGGGCTTACAGCAGGACAAATATATGATCTTATGCTTCCGGGGGGAAGGAGTCAGAAATGGGCCTCACTGGGCTAAAATCAAGGGGCTGTGTTCCTCTCCGGAGGCTCAAGAAGCTGTGTTCCGGCCTCTGGAGTCCCCTGGCATCGTCCACTCGCCACAGCACTCTAATCTCTTGTTTCGTTGCCATTTTTCCTTCTCTGACTCTGACGACCTGCCTTTCTCTTATCAGGACCTTTGTGGTTACACTGGGCCGGCTGGATACACTGGAATCATTTTCTCATCTCAAGATCCTTAACTCAATCACCCCCGCCAAGTTCCTGCTGCCACAATCGGGACATACATTTTTGCCAGCTCTGGTGGTTAGGACATGGACCTCTCTGGGTGGGGACCATGCTGCCTACCGCAGGTGGTACAAATGCGAGGAGAAAGTGGCATCTGAGCAAAGACCCGGAGGAGGTGCACTTCAGAAGAGGAAGCAGTCCACGGGAACATTAGAAGCAGGACTGCGCTTGTGTGTTTGGGGAATAACGCAAGAGGCCAGCATACCTGGGGCAGAGGTCTGGGGAGAAGTAGGAGAAGAGATTGTACAGGAAAAGAGAGAGGAATGAGGCTCCCTTGGAGACCTTTAGTCATTCTAAGGACTTTGGCTTTTTATTCTGAGCAAAATGGAGAACCATTTCTGAGTTTGGGGCATGATCTGATTTGAGTTGCCGATTATGGATGCCCAGTTGATTCTGAATTTCAGATAAACAGTGAATTAAAAAAATAATAATTCCAAAACCACATGGGACATACTAAAAAAAAAACCTGTTGTGGTCGTGGTTGATCTGGATTTTAATTGACCAGGGCGTCCTGCATTTTAATTTGCTAAACCTGGTAATCCTATTTTACAAGGATCCCTCTGACCGCTGGGTGGAGACCAGGTGGCGGAGGAGGTGGGCTCACCTAGGCTGTTGTGATGAAAGTCTGAGGAATCACGGTCGTTCAGCACAGGGCATGAATGCCATGGAGGCTGAGGACCTACACGATCCCTCCCAGGGCTGTAACCGATATTGCTCAATCTTTGTAAGTCCACGGGGAGAGAGGGGAGCCACAGTGCAGAATCTGACAATATCAGCCATAAAAACCATCCCCTGCCTACTCATTTTTCATATGCAAGGACACCCAAGGATCCCCTACGAGAGGGGAGCTGCGAAAAGCCCCTAGACGGGGAGAGCTAAGAACTGCTGGTCTCCCTTATTGGAGTTATGAAGGCATTGTGGGTAAAACTGTAACATTTCCAGAATATCTCACCTGGCTTTGGTGCATTTGCATATCCTCAGTGGTGGAGAGAAGTTCATCTCCATGGCAATGAGTGATTACCTGGGCAACCGAGGCCCTGTCTGAACCTGAGAGGTTACAGGGAGGGGCTGGTTTCCTTGCTGGCTTGCTTCTTCTGGAGCAGGGGAGAGAGATGTCTCTGGACTGCACTTTGTAAGCAATAAATGGGTTTTAAACTTTATTTCTCCCTTTGACTGACCTCAGTTTTTAGAGGTATTTTTTCCCTGGTTTTCTTTTCCTCAACTTACAGCATTTTTCACACCTGGCTTTTTTTCCACTTAGATCAAAATTCAAATTTCTTACCATGGCTTGCCAAATTCAGCACCATCTGGCCTTGGTTCCTGTCTTGTAGTGCCCTGTTCTGACCAGCCACTTTGCTCCAGCCATGCTGGCCTCATGTCAGGTTTTAGAACAAGAACATACCCAGGGCTGCCTTGCCTCAGGACCTTTGCACTGGCTGTGCGTTCCACCAGTCATTCCCCTTCTGTTTCCCATGGCTGGAGACCTCAAGGTCTAATTCTCACCTTCAACATATTTCCCTTGTAGCCTCCCTTGACTCCCTTCCTGCAGGGAACACCCACCCTCTACCCATCACAATCTATAAACATATGTGTCCTCGTTTTTGCCCATCCTTCCAAGCAGAATGCAAGCTCCATGAATGTGGGGTCTTGGCTATTTTTTCTAAATACTAACCCTTCCGGGAAAAATGCCTGGCACATCATAGGTGCTCAATAAATATGTGAGAAGCAAGTAGATGAAATACAGTTGATCCTGAACAAAAAGGGTTGGAACTGTGCAGATCCATTTGCATGTGGATCTTTCCAGCGAATATATTAGAAACATTTTTGGAGATTTGTGACAATTTGAAAGATTTTTTTTCCCTCTGGCTTACTTCATTGTAAGAATACATGTAACATACAAAAAGTGTTAATCAGCCGTTTATTGGTAAGGCTTCAGGTCAACAATAGGCTATTAGCCGTCAAGTTTTGGGGGAATCAAAAATTATGCATGGATTTTTGACTGCGGGCGGGGGTGGGGGGTTGGCGCCCCTAACCTCACGGTTGTTCAAGGGTCAGCTGTGGTCTGGGCAGCAATAAAATGGATGCAGAAGAGACTCTACTGTTCCCACCTCTTGTCCACAACATGACAAGAGCCACAACATGAAGTGACCTTTCATGGAACGATCAATATGTGGGCCTTTCACACTATTATCAACTATTACATGCAGTGCATTTTATTATATGTAGTTACTATTTTCATGCAAGAAATGGTACATCCACATAATTAAAAGAACGATCGATATTACCCAGGTTTCCAGCCCTTGTTAACATCCAGGTGAACGTCATCTTACATATTTTGCACGCATCTATTCATGGATTGGTGAGATTTTTTTTCTTTTAATGAAAATGGACTCCTGCCATCCATTCGTCCTCAAAACTTGCTCATGTGTGACACTCCCACGTATTTTGCACACCTACATAACAGAATGTTCAAGCAGAAGCACTGCAGTCTCATCTCTGCTCAGACCCAAAGGTGATCAGTGCCAGCGAGGCGGGATTCCAAAACGGGACCGTCCATGCACGGCTTCGAGAGAAGGTGCGGGAAACCCGGTCTCCCCACCCTGGGCTCATGTTCACCTGGAGGTACTAAAAAAGGGGTGCTGGCGTTAGAGGGCCGGCTTTGCTTGGATTCCGTGTGCTCGTTTACAGGAGGAGCTCTTGGTGCCCTGGGCCCCCTCCTCTCCCCAAGGAAGGAGGGTGGCTGGGAAGGCGGCTGCTTCCAGCTTCAAGGCAAGTGCCCGGTAAAGCGGATGCGACCTGGCGCGGGTCCGAAACATCCCAGGAGCTCAAGATGGTGGCTAAGGGCCCTGGAGACGCTCGGGGACAGCCTGGGGGGGCGACAGGGCGAGCGGACGGCGGAGGGGAGGAGGCTGACCCAGCAGGCCGGGTGTTGCAGCCTTGCCACAGTGCCACCCGGAGGCGGGAGCCCTGCAGGGAGAAGCTGGAGGGGCCCGGGGTCGGGTTGGGGGGGCTTGGGGGGCCCCCAAACACTGAGCAAGTCGTCCTTCCGGACCAACCGGAGGAGGGGGGTTCACAACCACGGCCGTGGGACGCGAGGACGGGGAGAGGCTCCAGGGAGGTGAAGAAAAAGCTGGCCGGGCCCCGTGCCGCTGCGGCACCCGCCGCAAGTACTCCAACCACTCAACATTGTTTTCCTTTGCGTGTAACAACAACAAAAAAGCCCCAAAAACTGAAGATACAGCGAGAAGGCGGCTGCCTGCCAGTCAGGAAGGGGGCCCTCACCAAACTGAACTGGCGGAGCCTTGATCTCGAACTTCCAGCCTCCAGAACTGGGAGAAATAAAGGTCTGTTTTTCAAGTCAGAGAGAGAGAGAGACAAACTGTTCAGCAGCGGACCCTGAGCTCGTACCATGTTCACCCTCCGTGGAGGCCCCAAGGGCGTCTTCTCTTGCTCTTCCCCCAGGTTCCCTGACCCCTCACTCTCCTCTACTTCCTGCCTTCACCCCCAGAGGCCACCATGCATGCTCATGTGCATGCATGCGTGCACACACACACACACACACACACACACACACACACACACACACAGTGACGGCAGAGAAACAGACACGCCCCAGTGAGATACACAGAAGGCCGGGGAATCAGGGACACGCCTGGACCCTGAGATTCAGGAGGCTGCTCAGCCCTTGGCCCCCTTCCCCCTTCTCTGCCCAGTGGTTTCCTTGACTGTAGTTTGCAGTGATGTGACTCAGGCTGTAAAGGCAAAGCACGAGTTCCACACAAGCTGCAGAACCATCTGGGCCTCTTTGCAAAGAGATGCCGCCTGGGCCCCTCCCTCAGGCAAAACCACCCATGCTTGTCGGATGAACAGCCCTGGAGACATCAGGATGGAAAGGACCCCAAAAGCCATCCTATCCTGCTTGTTTCCTACTTTTATCCAAAAAGTCAGAAAGGGACAAAAAAATCTTCCCTGGCACTCTAGAACATGTATTTACTGGCTTAATTCAATTCTTATTCTGGTGATTCATTCAGATTTCAAAAAGCACTGGTCTAGGATGGGGGTTGGCAAATGATGGCCCACCACTTGTGTTTGTAAATAAAGTTTTATTAGAACACAGACACACCTATTTGTTCACATACCAGCTGTGGCTGCCTTCACACTGCAAGGGCAGAGATGAGTCCCCTCAACAGAGATCTTACAGCCCACACAGGTGGGAAATATTACCTTGGGTCTTTTTCAGGAGAAGTTTTTGGCCTTTGGTCTAGGAGTTCGCAGGCCTGGGTTTTAGATCTCTGTTATCAGTATGACTTTAGAAAAATGCATCCCTTTGATTCTGGCCATCTGATGTCTCTTCTGCACTTTCTCTGGATATTCTGTCTATCATGTGGATAGAGTTTCTGGAAGGAGAGAGACTATATCATGTCCTCTGCTGTTATTCCTGCTAAAGTCAGCATGCATTAGCCGAAGTTCATTCCCAGAGGCTTTCTTCTTGATGTATTAGCGATAGTAATTGCATGAGTGGAAACACTGCCTCTTCAGTTATTTGATTGCCTGGGGTACAGGTTATAAATGAAAGGAAGATAAAAGCTGGATTTCTTCCCTCTGTGTTTAAGACTTTGTGAACTGGGTTTCTAGCATCTTCCAAAGGTGGCCAATACAACATTTCCTAAATGCATCCAGTAAGTATGGCTAAAAGTCTGTGAGCCTGTAAGCCTAGGATTGTCACTGTCATCCCCAGGGTCCTAGGGACGTATGGTCTGAATAATAATCATGCCACAGAAGTAGAAATAGATATGAGAGAAGAAAAGTCTAAATGGCATTTAAGGATGTGGATGCATTTGTCTGAGGATCTCTCTGGCTCTGACTTTCCCTCCCTCCCTCCCTCCCTCCTTCCTCCTTTCTCTGTTGTTCTCAAGTCTTTCCAAGTGAGGTTTTCCCTTTTGTCATTTCCATCCAAGAGTCAGAACTGTGCTAATGATGGGAGGCAGTGTTGATGAAATAGAAAATCATATTACATCAAACTGAAGACACCACTTCAATGAAAAAGAATGGACCCTTCAATAAAGGATACTGGGCCAATTGATTATCCCAAAGGAAAAATTAGATCTCTTCCTCACTTCAGATAAAAATTAATGCCAGATGGATTCAATATGAAAGACAAAATTTTAAAAATTTAAATTTAGAAGAACATATGGGAGAGACTATTTCTCACATAAAGCTATTCAAGACATAAAGAAATCCCACAACATGTAAATTAAAAGATGAATGACTTGGAGTTGGTAATGCTAAACATATTTATTATGGTACAGAAGAAATGCAAACATGAGTCACAGACTCCCAGGAGGAATTCGCAACATATGGCTTACAGAGGAAAGGTGTGTCTACTATATAAACACACCCTTCAAGCTGATAAGGAAAAGACTGGCAATTCCACAGAAAAGTGAACGCAGAGAGAAGCCACAATTCGATCAAGAAACTCCAAATGGTCAACGAACCTCACTCATAATCAGGAAAATGCAAATTAAAGCAACAATGAGTTATCTTTATGTAGGTAGCTTAAAGTGGGTTATGAGCTCACATATTTTAATCAGCAAAAATTATGAGGTTTGAATGTATTTATGCATTGGCAAGGACATGGGGAGCTAGGAACTTGCACCTCCCTGGTGGACAGATACACAGGCAAAGCTACCTTACTTGTCAATCGGCTTATCTCTGTGAGATTAAAGAGGTGAACGTTGTAGAAGACAGGTTTTCCTTCTAAATGTGCAGCCTAGAGAGATTGTCTACATGAATGGGGAGACAGGTACGGGATGGTTATTACAGCATTTTGCTGAAAGCCCAGCAATGGGAATAACCCAAACATTTAGCAGGCCAGGAAACTGGAAAGAGAAACCATGGTTTGTGCAAACAGCCAAGCTCTTTTACAAATATTTGTTTTGTAATTCACAGACAATAAAATCTATGCTTCCAAAGTGCATGTTCAATGGGTTTTGGTATATTCACAAGGGTGTCTACCCTCACCTATCTAATTCCACCACGAAAAAGAGACCCCCTACCTACTTGCAGCCACTCCCCATTCTCCCCTCCCTTACCCCCTGACAACCTTTAATTGGTTCTATCACCAAGGATTTGTCTGTTCTGGGCATTTCATATAAATGGAACCTGACAATATACAGCTTTTTGCATCTGGCTTCCTTCACTTAGCACGATGTTTTCACAGTTCATCCATGTCATGGCACATAAGCACTTCATTCCTTTTCATGGCTGAGTAATATTCCATGCTATGGTTAACAGATAAAATCTATACAGTAAACAATGAGCTAGACCTGCAAAAATCACCTGGATGAATTCAAGAACATAACATTGAGGGCAATAAAAAGATCACAGAATTATGGTAAACAATATGATTCCATATATATTAATAGCACATAAATATTGCCACATATTGAGTACCCACAGATGCCTGTGTAGTAAAAGTATGAAAAAAATCCATATACTGTATCTTGGATAATGTTTACCTTTACAGAATAATATACTGTATCTTGAATAATGTTTACCTCTGGGGAAGATAGAAAGGAAAATAGATTGAGAGTGGTAGAAATAAAAACAGCAAAACATTAATGTCTAGAAAATAAGGTCAGTATGCATATTTCATGTATATTACTTGGTGTTTTTCTTTACAATCAAATTATTTTATAATTAAAGACTTAAAAGGAGAAGTTATCCAGCTATGTTTATGCATGAAGAATATTTATATATACCTGCCAAATTTTTACCCTTTTATTCATGCATTTATTAAAAAATGACTTTCAAACCTGATCAAGTAACAGAACTCAGGAAGCAAAGCTTGTATGTTTGTGTTTATGAGTAAGTGGTCATTGGGTGCCACTGTCACACAGAAAAGCCCACACTCAGAAACATCCTTACAGGGATGTATTGACGTAAATTAATTCAGTTACCGGCACCAAGTGACAAAATCCACATATATCCTGTATGTTTAACTTCATTGCATCCTTTGATTTTAATGAAGATAAAAAGAAAAAATGCAAACAGAAATACGATACAGTAAGAACACAATGACATTCACAGCAGAGGGGAAGTGGTTTTGCCTTAAGACCAGATGGCCACCCAGCACTGGAGCTCCCCCGGGGCAGGCTGCTCAGGGCCGCTCGGGGGGCTCACAGTTGAGGGCCTTTGTGTTGCACTCCTTTTGGCAATGCCCCGTGCCGAGGAGATGCGTGCCACCCCACGGGCTCTGCCGGGGTAACCGTTTCCTACTTATGTGGTGCCTTCCGAGCTCCCTAAGTGGGTCTCATGAATATCAGCAGCCTGTATCTATAGAGTACGTATTTTTAGCCCATATTTTAAGTCAAACTGTACTCACGTCACACTTCAAGTCTTGGGAAAACCCATCCAGTAATTCCTGAGAGGTGTGGAAGCAGAAAGGCAGACCCGTAACCTGACTGATATGGATTATCAGCCAAGGGCACAGAGAGAGTGGATTTCCAGGTGACCGATCCATCCTCTCCACGGAGGAGGCCTTTCCTCCAGGAGCTCCATGTTCTCCCACTGCACCTTCAGGACTGCATGTCCCCAAGATCCGGGGCCTCCTTGGCAGGGACAGGAGCTGCCTCGGAGGGTGCCATGGCGTTTAGCTCCTCATGGGTCACTTCCTGGGAGTCCTTCAGTCTTAGGGAAGACGAGATGGGCATTTAGAGCTTAGCTATGCGATATGGCACCCGTGAGCCACACGTGGCTGCTTAAATGTAAATGAATTAAACCTAAATCTAATGCAAAATTTGGGTCCTCAGTCTCACCAGACACATTTCAAATGTGCAATAGCCACTCATGGCCGGGGGCTGTTGCACCGGACGGTGCAGCTATATAACATCTCATCGTCGTGGAGAGTTCTATTGGATAGCGCTGTGCAATTTGGGGACGGTGAGGGTTTTGACTCTAGTATTAATAAAACAGTACTAACAATTGGTTATAAGTCATGCTAATAAAAATCAGTGCAAAAATGTAATAGAATTAACATCCTATAGGAATACCTCCTGGAGATGTAATATTACATTTTTTAAAACAGTTTTATTGAGATACAATTTATATCTTATAAACTTCCCGTTTTAAGGTACCATTTTGTGACTTCTAGCACATTTGTGGAATGAGGCGGCCATCACCACAATAGTTTTAGAACATCCACCGCCCTGAAAAAGTTCCCTTGTGTCTGTTCGCACGCACACGTGGCTCTCCTCACCCACCCCACCCCCACCCCGCCCCAGCCATAGGCAACTGCCCATGTGCCTTTTCTGGAGATTTTATATGAAAAGTGGAACTATTCTGTATACAGCCTTTTGTATCTGGCTTTTTCCACTTGGCGGAATGTTGTTGCAGTACATTTGTTTGGCACATGTATCAGTAGTAGCTTCCTTTTTTATAGCTGAACGGCATTTCACTGAATGGAGGTACCCCATCATAGTATTATATTATTGCTATAACATTATTATTATCAACAATTTGCTAGTGAATGTCATTGATCCAATATTTAAAATAGACCAGATCTGTTCATTGGTGCTTGATATGTGAAACTGTGAACTATGCTTTCCCAAAACTTAAAAAATATCTCTACTCCAATGAACACACTGTGCGTGAACACTTTTTAAACACGACAGTGAACTATTCGCACCTCTCGCGAATGCCTCTCTTTATTTGCTTTGCCGTAGAGAATGAGCCATGAACCTGTGTCCTGTGGGACAATGTGTCGCTGTTATCTGATAGTGTTCTTAGAGGAAATGCTAATTAATGGCAAATCACAAATAAGCAGTATTTTACATAGAAAAACAATTGGTTGATGTAAGTTAACATTTGTTGATTGATGCCTCTATGCTATCCATCTGACATTGAAAATCTGTCGGGAACTCCAGCAAACCCTTTATGTTGATGACACTGCTGGATGCACACAAGCCTTTTCGATGGGGATCCTGATTCCCAAGGGCGCACATCACAGGCGTTTCCTGATTGGTCCAAGACCACTTGAGATGTAATTGACATAATCTGTACATTTAAGATGTACAATGTGCTGATTTGACAAATTCATATCAACTTAGTGTTAGCTGACACCTCCTCCCATCATATGACTATCATTTCTTTATTGTAGTGAGAACATTTAAGATCTAATCTCTTGGCAGCCCTGAAGGGAGTAACACAGGGCTGCTGACTATAACCAGGGTGCAGCACCTTAGGTCTCTGAGACTTATTTATCTGCTAGTTTCAAGTTTGTACCCTTAGACCAGCATCTCCCCAGATCTCTGCCCCCCCACCCCTACTGTCTTGGTAACCAACCATTTTACTCTCTGTTTCTAGGAGTTTGCTCAGAGCATGTGTTTTAGTCCACTGGTGACTGGCTCCTGGCAATTGTGTGAGTTGGGTGTCCACATAACCAGGGCACGGGCTAAACCAGGAGGTGGGCAGGACGCGCAGGTGGCGGGTGAGCTCGGGGGAAATTCCTAAGGGGAGACCCCACCCCCACAGCTGTCCTTTCCCACCTGGAATCTGCCTCTGAGAGGGACAACATGCCATTCTCTGATTGCAGGCGTCAGACCTTGGTCTTCCTATCCCACAATTTTTTTAGGGTGTCTTCCCTCCCCACTTACCCGTAGCCTTCTTGGGAAATCTGGAATGGCTGGTTCTGAGGGAGAGAAAGACAAGAAAGTCCGAGGTCTGAAGGTTAGGGGGTGAGGAGCAGGGGCTTGGGGAGGGGAGGGGAAGGTCCAGTGCGGTCTGGGGTGGGTGGGACGGGGTGAGGCTGGGCGTGGGGACACGGATGAGCAATGGGCATCTCTGGAGGGCAGCGTGGGCGTCAAGCTGGGCGCGAGATATGCCAAGGAGACCTACCTCTTCATGCGACGGGCCTATATAAAAAATACAGGGAGGGGTTTATGTCATGAGAAAACCCCCACTTCGCTCCCCTTCCCCAGCATTTTCGACCAGTGGTCCCCCGAACCCACCGTGCTGAGAGCGTCTGTAGATGAAGAAGACCGAGAGGAAGAGAAGGAGGATGGATATGCAGCTCACGGTGGTGACGAAGACGATTCTGGTGGCTGGCGGGGGGAGAGCAGGCCAGAGAATCAGTCCGGCTCCCGAGACACGCGGGTCGCGTTCCGCAGAGCAGTTCGGAGGAGCCAGACACACCGGCTTCCAAAGCGGGAGCTGCCACTTCAGAGCTGGAGTCACCATCGTCTCGGGGAATTTCTGTAAAATCTGCCTGAGTCCGTGTCCCCCATTCAAAGTGAAGACAAGGCCTGTGGCTACTTACTAGGGGACAGGGAACTGAAGTGGGTCGGGCCAGGTACAGAGGGCTGGCAGGGTACCTGCGCTCCGGCTTCCAAAGCGGGAGCTGCCACTTCAGAGCTGGAGTCACCATCGTCTCGGGGAATTTCTGTAAAATCTGCCTGAGTCCGTGTCCCCCATTCAAAGTGAAGACAAGGCCTGTGGCTACTTACTAGGGGACAGGGAACTGAAGTGGGTCGGGCCAGGTACAGAGGGCTGGCAGGGTACCTGCGCGCGGGAAGGTCCCCGGTGCGTGTTTCATCCGTTGCAATCATAGTGGTCGTTTGTGGGGAGGCACACTGTGTGCTGGGAGCTTCATGCCTGTTCTTTCTCATCCTGAGAAGTGAGAGTCTGAACCCGTCATCCGGTGAGACACACGTTTGCCCAGCTGACCGTAATGCTACAGACGCAACGCTGCTCAGTCACAGATGACCCGAGGTCTAAACTCTCACCCAGTTAAGAGGCACTTTCCCTGTAGTATATATACATATGTGATGGAATATTATTCAGCCATAAAGAGAAGGAAATTCTGCCATGTGGCAATATGGATGAACCTGGAGGACCTCATGCTGAGACAAATACTAGTTGATTAGATGTCACTAAGATGTGGAATTAAAAAAAAAATCAAACTCAGCTGCAGAGGAGAATGGTGGTTAGGATGGCTGGGGGTGGAGGAAATGGGGAGAGGCCGGCCAAAGGCTACAAACTTCCAGGGAAAAGAGGAGTTAAGTCCTGGGGATCTAAGGTATCACATGGCCACAGCACATGATAATGGCGTGTTGCACAACTGAAATTCACCACGGGAGTGGATCTTCAGCGTCCCAAGAAGATGGAGAGGCAAATGTGTGAGTTGAGGCAAGGGGTGTGTTCATAGACTCAGTGGGCAGTCCTCTCACAGTGTGTATGTATGAAAAGTGACCACGTTGTACATTTTAAATATCTTAACATTTTAAGTGTCAATCACACCTCAGTAAAGCTGGGGGGAAAAGGGGTGGAAGACAAGAACACCTAACTCAAAGGGCGGGGTAATGACGAAAATACTGGCTTTCAAGCACTCCGCCTAGAATCTGACTTGCCGTCCAGGATAATGAGATTGCAGGATAACCACTATTTTCTCACTGGTATTTCCCCCACACTATCTCCCTCTGCGACAGGTGATGGCATGCCACACCGCCCACGATCCCCTAAATGCGCCCGAGGTGGGGTGTCTTTTGCTTTCCAACAGGAACGCTTGCATCACTTTGCAGGGGATGGCCAGGAGGGATCTGAAATGCCTTGGGATTTATGCATCCCGGAGCACCCCTTTATCGATAACTGCCATTTGAGGGAGCACGACTGTCCAAGCTCCCTGGTCCCCTGCATCTGTGACCTTCCCCGTCTCCTGCCCTTCCTCGCAGAGTGGAGCAAAAGACACCAGCCGAGGACCACCCCACCGTGGCTCAGTCTCCTTTCTTCTCAGACCTTCCCTGTCCCCTACAATGCCACTTGCACACAAACACTTATTTGGGAATCTACTTCCCAAATGTTGGATTGGCAGTGAATCCAAGGGACCCTCCAAAGCAACAACCCTATCAGTGCTTCTCCAAGGACGGAAGAACACAGCAGGGCTGGCAGGGCCCGAGGCAAGCAGAGAAACACCAGCCTGCCTTATCCTTCAATCTCCTCTTGTGCAGCCTACAGCTTCTCTCACACAGCAGTTCTCTAGAAATGAGAAGTGAATTATTACAAAATTATCCTCATCAGGTGGCCCCACAACCTGGGTTCACCCTGAGATGTCCACATATCCTGGCCAAATTTCATATCACTGTTTACAAACTGCCAAAATAAACTAACAGGGTCTGTGACGTTGGTCTGAAGGAATCAGACTTAATAAGGGGATACAGCCTGACACGGGACATAAACGAAGTCACAGCCAACAGAAAAAAGGCCTAGCCCTGTGTCAAAGTTCAATGATGACACTGAACATCAGTTTCTGCATGACATTGCAGTGTAGGGTCCTGTCTGGTAGCTCTGGGGGCATGGGCATACAGACTGGGACAATGGATCTGTGCTTAAAAATATTTTATCCTATTTAGAGTTGTGGTGGCAGAAGTTTGAGCTCAGAAAGCACATCTTAAGGGCTTATGAACACACATAGGAAGGCTATATATATATATATATATATATATATATATATATATAATAAAACTAGAAATTAACAAGTGCTGGCAAGGATGTAGAGATATGGGAACCCACATACATTACTGGTGGGAAAGTAAAAAGTAAAATGGTACAGACACATTGGAAAACAATTGGTGAGTTCCTCAAAAAGATGAGCATGAGACCTTCACGAGATTGTATATCAATGAGACCTTATGAAAAAAAGTGCAACATAGTCATTGGGCAGAAAAAAAAGATAAGCATGCAGTTACCATGTCCCAGCAATCCTGCTGCTAGGTAGGCATCCAGGAGAATGGAAAGCAGGGATTCAAGCAGGTACGTACTTGTATACCGGTGCTCAGAACAGCAATGCTTGCAATAGTCAAAAGGCACAACCCAACTGTCCATCAGCTGATGGGTTGGACCACGCAACGGAATATTTTTCAGCCATGAAGAGAAATGAAGTGCTGACGCAGGCTACAGCGTGGATGAACCTTGAAAACATGCTCAGCAGAAGCCAGTCTCAAAAGACAACATATTGTGTGAATCCATGTACATGAAATGAAAACATAGAGTCAAGAGCAGATGAAAGGTTGGCAGAGCCTGGTGGGAGATACAGGAATGGGGAGGCACAGCCGAGAGGATAAAAGATTTCATTTGGGGTAATGAGAATGTTCTGGAATTATATAGTGGTGGTTGCACAACCTTGTGAATATACCAAATGCACTGAATAGTGCACTTTTAAAGGGTGCATTTGTAGAATGTGAATTGTATATCAATAAAAAAGAAAGGAAATAAATTACACAAGAGCTAAAAATATGAAAGCTTCTCTTCCTTGTCCCTCAGACACACCACCAGACTTCTGAACTTCTGATCCATCTGATACTTCCGCCCTCCTTGACTCCATCAGATTTTAGATCTCCCCAAGAAAGCACTCCCTGTGTGAATTATGTTCACAGTGCTGAAGTAGAAGTCATTTCCCAAGTCAGCTAATACTAAATAGGCACATTTTAATAGGCTATTCCTTATTTTGCCAGGACATTTTGGAGGATAACTTTCTTAAAAAAAAAACAAAACTGATTATACCAGCATAGATTCTAATGACACCCTTGAATAATTTTGGCTCTTTGGAGTGGATTACACGAGGTTATGAGCTGCTGAAAGAAAGGGTAATTAAGCATCTCAATGCCAATTTACATTATACGTTCGGCCATTAAAATTTGGATGAGCTCCTGTTTCCGTCTAAAGACGCCAAAAGCTCTCACTTTTACAAGCATCTCTGAGGCCATAATTACAGTCAATTCCTCAATGGAAAAGTAACAACAGAGAAAAAGGATGTGACAGTCACCTAGTTTTGAGAAATTTAAAGTTTTAGGAAGTTCTTGATCATACATATTCCCAATGTTCCTGGATGCCACGGGTCCTGCTACCCAGACCAGCCTACAAACTCACCTCCATCCTGCACAAAACTCCGCCAAGCATTTCATCATGTAAAATGGCAGATGGTGCATCTTGTGTTATTTTAGTCACCGGTTGTTTTCAGAGCCCAGGAGCAGCTTGAAGGTCATTTCTCCCCCAGAGGCGGTCATGTCCCCCAGTAACACTGAGAAAGGGCATCATGATTTTTCTTGTGCTTTTTAATCAAACGGGGTCCCTTGCCTCATGAGGTGCGTATAATTGGAAAAACATTTCCTCTCTAATTATCTTACCTTTTTTTCTGGAAAGAGCTCTGTGGCCATCGTGGTAATCTAGAAAACAGGGTGCAGGGAAAGGCATCACAGTGGTTGCATGGGGACATAACTGTTCTACTGACAGACTCTACAACCTCTTTGGGAAGCAGAGAAGAGTGTGTCTTTCCCATTCTCTGCATGGTCGCTGGGTCCCCAAACCAGGGCTAGTGCATTAGACTATTCTTCTTAATACTCCTAGAGTTTGATATTTTTAATGACAAGAATATTTGTGAACACCACCACTGGTTTACACCCTTCCAATCCTATTCCTTCCAATTTTCCCTCTCTCAGGAAAAAGTAAATATTTTGCAAATTTTTTTCCCCATTCTATAGGTTGCCTTCTTCTGCTGGGCAGAAGCTTTTCAGTTTGATGTCGTCCCACATGTTTATTTTTTACTCTTGTCCTGTGCTTTAGGTGTCACATCAGAAAAATCATTGCCAAGACCGCGTCAAGGAGCTTTTCCTTTTCCTGTTTTCTTCTAAGATTTGATGGTTTGGGGTGTTATGTTTAAGTCTTTCATCCATGTTGAGTTCATTTTTGTGGGTGGTGTAAGGCAGGGGTCCAATTTCATTCTTCTGCATGTGGTTATCCAGTTTTCCCAGCATCATTTACTGAAAATACTACCCTTTCCCCATGGAGTAAATGAGTATTCCTGGCTCCCCCACCAGATGATAGTTAGTGGAATTCACCAGTGAAACGCTCTGGTCCTGGATTTCCTTGCTGGGAGGTTTTTGATTACTGACTCAATCTGCTTATCCATTCTGGGTCGGTTCAGGTTTTCTATTTCTTCATGATTCAGTCTTGGTGTGCAGACTTCGACAAAGGTTCGCTTGTCCATGGACTTCCGGCATCCACGTTCTTCAGGTTTCCCCCAGCCGCGGCCGAGAGCGGCTGGAACTAGTTCCCAGGCCCCTGCAGGGCTCGCAGAGGCCTGTCTGCTTTCCCCCACGCACAGGCGGGTGGGCCTCCTCCTGGGTCCCCGGGCGTTTGGTGCTGCACCCCGCAGCCCCCACAGAGGCACTTTTGTTCATGGATGGATGTCAAATTTTTGTTGTTGCAGTTTGGGGGACAAACATGAGGGAAGTCTTATGCTGCTGTGATGCTCGGTTTGTCTTTTTCTTACTTTTTCAACTTGTAATGGTGTTCTGGGGTCCCTGATTTCAGCTGAGCAATAAGGATACATTCAGTTCTGTCCTAGGCAACCAGACATCTGAGGGTCATACTGTGACCTGGAGTCGTCTCAGGGTCTGCGATGCCGGAGAGGGAACGTTTCAGGACTGCTCCTGAAGAGGACAAGGCGATGGGGTGAAGGGAAGGACAGGGCGTCCCATTTTCCGCTGCACCTGGGGACACTCCCACCCGTATTTCTGCACTAACTGTGTCTTTTATTTTCTGCATTTGATGCTTTGACACCTCGGGCCTTTGCCGAGCCTGGAGGAGGCCCCTCCCAGGGTTGCCCAGTTCCTAGACACAGGAAACAACTCTCCCTTGAGCTCGCCTCTCACATGCTGACCGGCCAATCCAGAGCCCACGTCCCCACCTACCTCCTTTATGGGTTCTCACACTCAGGGCCACTATTCCCTGGCCCTAGTCACCCCAGGACCAGGTCCCAGATGACCAGGGACAGCCAATCCAGCCCAGAGCCCATCCTAAGCCTATTCCTTCCCACAGAGACCACAGTAGAGGGTCTGCGCCCAGGGGTCCCCTGCCTCTGCCGCTTGGCCAAGCCCCCCGCCTCGTCGTGCGGTGCCGTGCGGCACGGCGCCCCACCCTCTCGGGAGCTGGAAGAAACTACCTTTACAATGACCATTGTCTCTTTTGGCTTCACCGTACCTCAAATTTCCTATTAATCTCTATGTTCGAAAACCCTCTCCCACAGCCACATAACTGGGACGCTGGATTCTTATCAGAACGTGATAGGAGCTTGTTCCCACACTCAGTCCCCATTTTCTGGTTTTCTACACTCAAGGAGCGTATCTGCCCCTTGGTTTCCTGGGTTCCTCCTTCCCCGGCCAGGCCCCGTCACAGGAAAAGGCATATGCCCTTCTCACCTGCGACCACCAGCTGCAGGGGGCCGCTCTTCTCCGACCACACCTGGGAACCCCTTCTCTTGTAGGCACAAAAGTAGGAGCCGGAATCCGGGGGCGCCAGGCCAGTGAGGAGGAATTCAGCCTGGGGTCCCGCCGAGCTCTGCTCCTGCCTGTACCCAGAGTCCTGCCACTTCCCCAGCATGAACGTCACGTTCTGGAAGTGGGACTGGCACTTCAGAGTCACGTTGCTGCCAGGCTCCGCCGCCGTGCTGGGCGAGGCACTCAGGGAGGGTTTGGGAAGATGCTCTGGAAAGAATTCAGAGTTGGTCTGAGTGATGGGCACAAACGCCCCGCCGGGCTTCAGGGGATTACAGGGGAAGGTCCTGACCCTTGGGACGCAGAACACCTAGAGTTCACGTGCGTGAAAACTCACCGTTGTTTGTCTCTTCTTTGGAGCCGAGACAGAGCCCTGGAGATGAGATGAGAGATGAATTACAGGCCTGGCTTTGCGAGCCAGTCGGGCAGAGAACGCTTGCCTAATTGGTTCAAGATCTGCCCTGTTCCATAAGGACCTCCCCTGGTTTATGTTTAAAATTTTTAATGTTTTTTTTTTTTTTTTTACCTTTTACTTTGTCCCACTGTGTGTCTGGGGGTTCCCTTCTCACTTGAGTGGTGAGCGTCGGTTCTTCCCAACAAGGCTGTTATTTTCTGCACAGGGAACTCCAGATGTCTCTGGCCACGAATGCCCTCCTCCCTACCCCGTCTGCACTCTGTCCTTTTTATTTCATTCTGGGATGGGAATGTCACCCCACGGATGGAAATATGGGCGGGTAAAGCTAGAATTTCTCTAGACACAAGAGGGACATCTGGCCCTTGTTTTATTTCACGTATCAACTCACAACATGGACCCAAGCTTCCCTGAGAAGGAAGGAAGTAGGAGTTTGATGACGGACTCAGGCTACATTAAGAGTGACAGTGGCTGGGGTTCATAGCATTGGGGCCCAGGGCTGGCCTCCCCGAGATACGTCACAGTGACATATGGATTGTTTTGAATTAAAGTGACTTAAGAAACAGCCAGCGCAAGAAGGACACCCTGACCCTGCTTTGTCTGCAGAAAGCACAAAAATAAATCTCTCACATGAAAGTACCAGGAGGTGGAGAGAATCCTTATCACCAGGGCCGGGGGATTCAGGGTCCGAAGGATGTGTGAGCTAATCCTTGTCACTCTTTCCATAATTCACTACCCCAGCCCAAATGCTGATTAAAATCCCTACTGCTTGAAGCTCCTGAACCTAAGTTTTCTTTGTCCTGTTAGTTCCCCTCAGGTTTATTGTCTCTGTCTAAAATGTATAAAAGCTGCCTGCCTTGGTCATTTCTTTGGACCTCAATGTTATTATTGGGCTTCCGTGAGTGTGCAATTAAACTTTGTTTTAAATTCATAGACCACCCAGGGGAAGCTGGGTGTGTGGAGAAAAACGTTCCTCCCAACATCAGGCAGGAAATTGGGTTCACTGTGGTGAAGGGGTCCTGGGTCTTCTTGCAGCCCCTCCAAATCCTGCTTTTAGACTTACACCGTCTCAGCTATCAGCCAAGCTTTCTTTTAATAGAGAGCCACATTTTTTTTAAAAATAAGCACACAGTTACCCTTAGTTCGCTTTGCATCATGAAGCTCTACTGCGGAATAGGTCATAAAAATTGTAGGGGGAGGGTGTCACTTTTTTGACGAATAAAGTTGTAATTTTTTTTTGGCAAATGAAATTGTAATATATTTAAAGGGGACGGTGGGACAACCTGGTTCTACATACACATTGTAAGATGATTCCCACAATCAAGCCAGTTAACACATCCCCCACCTCCCATAGTTTTTTGTTTGTTTGTTTGTTTGTGTGGTGACAATGCTTAAGATCTACTCTCTCAGCAGATTTCAAGTGCATGACACAGAATTGTTACTTATGGTCACCGTGCTGTGCCTTAGATTCTCAGAATGGTAGATCGTTCTTGGGAAAGCACCACAGCGGACTCAGGCACAGACCCGGCTGTGAGGGAGACGCCGTGGTCTGGGAGAAGAGGACTGTCGGTGTGCAGGATAACTTGAAAAAGCAAAGAACAAAGATGGGCCTGCGGGTAGCTCTTTGGAGTATTAATGTGTGGAAGGGAGGAATGGGCCACCACAGTAAACATATTTCTCAGGAAATAGTTAACAATAAAAAATGACCAATTACCGAGTGTCTATCATTTGGCAGACTCTTGACTGCCATCAATCATTTACACACTTAGACTGTTTAGTGGGGCCTCTAGACAGCTCTCATTTACCACACAGCTACACTCCTTGCCTGCCTCTGCCACGTATTGTGCATCTAACACTTAGTGTGGCCTTTACGTAAGCCAAAAACGGAGAGCTGCCCAGCTTCGGTCTAGTTAGATGCCATTTCTTTCAAACGAGACGGAACAAAGTGGGGACACTACAAGCCACAGTTGCCTGGAAAAGAGGACAGTAAGAGGGACTGTGACATTGTGATTTATAATAAGTCATATATATATTTCCTCTTTGTCCCCAGTGCTGGCACAGAGCTCCAGAGGCCCCTGGGAATTCCCCGGTGAGGAGAGCAGGAAAGGTGTCTTTTGTTATGTTAACGAGGCGACTTTTGGAAAGTGGGAAACGATGGGGTCTGGTCGCCAAGGAAACCCCCAGGTGATTGGCGGGCGGGGATTTTTCGGTCCCACCCCCTGACCTGGGGAGCGGAGAGGGGCTGGAGGTGGGCTCAGTTGCCAATGGCCAGCGAGTGAATCAGTCATGCCTGTGTCGTGAAGCCTCCCCAGAAACCCGAAAGGACGGGCCTCAGAGAGCTGCCAGGCTGGCGGGCACGCGGAGATGCGGGCAGGGCGGCCCAGAGAGCATGAGGGCCCTCGCCCTCTGCCAGCCCCTGGGCTCTGCACCGCCGCCGTCCGGCTGTCCTGAGTTACACCCCTTTATGGCAAACCAGGGATCTATGGGTAAAACGCCCCTCAGAGCTCTGCGGGCCGCTCTAGCAAATTAGTTGAACCTGACGATGGGGTGGTTGGAAACCTTCCCCTGCAGCCAGTTGCTCAGAAACAGGAACAACCTGGGCTGTGGCTGGCGTCTGAAGCGGGGGTGAGGGGCGTCTTGCAGGGCGGAGACCACCCCCCGTGGGGCTTGATGCCGTCTCCAGGTAGGTAGGTTCGGAATTGAATCGCTGAGCACCCAGGCAGTGTCAGGTGTGCCGGGTGTGGGAACAGCCCCCGCGCTCCACACCGGAATTGGATGCAGAATCCTAATTACTGGTGACAGATTTGGAACTACCGGTTACTGGATATCTACTACTTAACAGATCCTTTGAATGCATCACCTGGAAAGCTTAATGGTTGTGCAGAAAATGGCTTGGCCACAGACAGGAATGTAGCACGGATGGCGTGTGCTTCATCCCAGATGAACCTCGAAAACGTCATGCCCAGTGAGAGAAGTCAGGCATGGAGGGTACCTATTGCCTGATTCCATTCATGTGAAAAGTCCAGAATAGCTAAACCTAGAGAGACGGGAGGTAGATAGGCGGCTGCCAGGGTCTGGGCAAGAAGCGAGGCGAAGTGATGCTTAATGGGCACAGGGTTCCTTAGGGCCATGCAAAGGCTTTCAAACTATTTACAGGTGACGGTGGCACTGCAGTGAACAAAATGCACCCTTTTTAAATGGTTAATCTTATGTGAATGTTTCCTCCATGCATTTCTTATATTTTGTGTAAGTTGGGTAGTTTTACCCTCTTGACTAAAGATCTGTAAAGACTCAAATATCAAAAGTACACATGAAATAAGACAAAGCCACAAATGATTGGCTGGGTTAATTGATGCCAAGGACCTGGGTCAGTGTAAGGGCAGATCGGGCCTCCAGGACGGCCTGCCCCGGGACTCCCTGCTGCTAGGTAGGCCCTTTTCTCTGAGCCTGGTTGTCTACCTCCCTCTAAATACTATGGGGATGTGACCAACGGCCTGGGGCCGAGGGCAGTACAGCCTTGCATCTTTGGAGGCCACCCGCACAGAGCATAGAGTTCATCTGTGCCTCAACGCCAGTTTGAGAAGCTTCCCGACAGAACTGGACTGGCTCACCGGGCATCAAACACCCGCCCCTGGAACCATGAGTATGGCAGGAGGGGAGGAGGGTGTCTTCTGGGTTGATTTGTGTCCCCCCAAGAGATACGTTCACATGCTAACCCCCAGCACCTGTGAATACAGCCTTCTTTGGAAATAGCATTATTTGGCCTCTGCAGTCACAGTCTGTTAACTGGAGATCATTCTGGGGGAGACTGGGCCCCTAATCTGACATGAGTGATGTCCTTTGGAGAAGAGGAAGAAGAGATATGGAGACAGGACACCCAGAGAGAAGATGCCACAGAGGGTGTGAGGGAGAGGGTGATGTGTCCAGATTGAGGGGCACCGAGGTTGCCCGGCATCCCCAGGAGTGGAGGGGGGCCTGGGGCAGATGCTCCCTCACGGCCTCCAGTGGAACCAGCCCTGCCGGCACCTTGACTGTGGACGCCCAGCCTCCAGAGCTGTGAGGGTCCAGACTCCACGGCTTTAAGCGCCCCAGTCTGTGCCCTTCGTCACGGCAGCCGGGGGAATCAAACACCAGAGGCCAGGTCTGTCCCTGGAAGGCCTGGCTCACTCAGCCCTGAAGTGGAGGCTTGGGGTGTGGTGACCAACAGGTGCCTCTGAAGCTCTAATGTGTGGGGAGCTGTGTGCCCACGGTGCAGGAAGGAACCTGGGCAGAGGACTGTCCCCCTGACCTCCAGCTCTGCCCCTGTCCCTGCGCTCCCAGAGGAGGAACTCAGACTGTCACTCAGTCTAGTCGGGTGGGGCTGCTGGTTCAAAGGCTGGAGCTCTTAGCCACCAAGCCAAGGTTAGGATCTAGGCCTGCCTTTTGACAAGGCTGCAGTTTGATTACATCCTGTTCACAATGAGGATGGTTAACATCAGGCCGGCATGAGGCCCATTGGGAAATTTTGTCTGTAGCCACTGTCCCCAGGCAGGGGTCCTCCCTGAAGCCCTGATCTGTACCTAGACCCACGGCGCCGCACCTGTAACCCCCCACTAGATGCCAGCAGGACATTCACGGCGGACCAGGTGGGCTTGGAGGTCCCAGTGAACTCTGCGTTTCTGGGCTGAGTAAAAGACAGTGTCACCACGCGTCTCTGATGGGCGGGCCCCAGGACGAGGGCATGTTGACCACAGACCACACGACTGGCAGGTGTCATACATCCCAAACACAGAAGCCACCGTGTCTGCACTTCCCGCGGTCACCCCCACTCCTCCTCGGAAGTCCCCCCACCCAAGCCCATCTGTCCCAGCCCTGGAGACTCACCAAGGCAGAGCAGGGACAGGACTCCTGTGATCATGGCTCCCCTTCTGCCTGGACCCAGACCCCGACTCCAGCTTTACGGTTCCAAGGCAGCAGGGGCCTGGGGCAACTGCAGCTCCCTCCTGCCCTCCGTCCCCAGGCCAAGCGGGGAGGTGGGGGAAGTTGTGCCGCACACTTCGGCTCCCCACCACGTGGTGTAGTTTCCTTCTCGCAACCGACTCAGGAAACAAGAAGCCATCAACGACAACATCTTCCCCAAAAATGTGCTGTGTGCAGCTCCTGCTCCACGGGCCCCGAGGTCCATCCCGTCTTATCTGAAGTCCTGCCTAAGACATGTTCTTTAAAAAATAATAATTTTTATTTTGAAATAGTTATAGCATCAGAAAATATAGTGCAGGGTTCCCACATAGCCACCAGCCGGCCTCCCCTGATGGTAATATAACTATAGGTCATTATAAGTACAGAGAACAGACGGGCGGTTACCAGAGGGCAAGCGGGCTGGGGTGGGTGGGTGAAATGGGTGCAGGGGCTCAAATGTATGGTGATGGATAGAAACTAGATTGGGTAGTGCATACAAATACCAAATTATAATGTTGTATACCTGAAAGTTATATAATGTTATATACCAATTTTACCTCAGTTAAAAAAAACTATAGTACATTATCAAAACCAGAAAATTGGTATTGGTACAATGCACTGGCCAGGCACACGGTAACATCTGAAATGCAAAAATCTCTGGTCAGAGCTGGACACTCACTGCCTCCTGAGGCAGGTAGGTCAGTAAGAAAACATAGATGGGTATTTCTGCCTTTGAGGCTGAGTAAACGTGTCCCACCTTGACAAATGGGCCACCCAACAGTCAGATTGTTAATGGGCTTTCTTGATGAGAAAGCAATCAAAGAAAATCAGAATGCCTCTGTTCAATTATTTTCCCAAGTGGGAAGAATGTAATCCTATTTTCCGGGAGCTAGGGAGGAAATGTCGATGAATCAGAGAGGAAATCTTTCCTTCCCAGCTGCTCATCACTTCCTCAGTTATTACAACTTTTGTGGACTATCGGTTGCCTCACATAACTGAACACACCAGGGTGGTGATGCATCCAAGTATGGGTGGGTCTGTGTTTCTCCATTTGTTTTCTGTTTAGTAAGTTCTCTCAACTACTGAGAAAAGTGTGTTGAAATTCCGAGATGTAACTGTGGGTTTGTTTCTCTCCTCTGTAAGTTCTTCCTTTCCCTCATTTATTTCAAAACCCTGCTGTCTGGTGCGACCACATCGAGGATCGGTGTGTCTTCCTGGGGAATTGACCCTTTATCATTGTGTCATGTCCCTGGTTATTCTCTTTGCTCTGAAGTCTACTCTACCTGATATCAGTATAGCCACTCTTTTCTTTATTAATGTTTTCAGGATACACTTTTCAAAAATGAAGGCAGAATACAGATTTTTTTTTTTTTGCAGAAAACCAGTCTGAGAGAATTCATTGGTAGAAAACTGCACTGGAAAATGGTTAAAGGAAATTCTTCAGCTAGAAAAAATACAATGCCATATGAAAATCTGAATCCCTACAAAGGAATGAGATGAGAGTGACTGTCTAAAGTGAGAATAGTAACAGTGTATCATGGAGTTCACGGCATACATGAAAGTATAGCATTTAACAACGATATCACCAAAAATAGGAGGGAGAAAATGGAAATATTTTGCTATATGTTTCTTACACTATTCATGAAGAGACATAATGTTACTAGGAAGTAGACTATGATACTTAAATATACATAGTAAGCTCAGAGAACTTGCTAGGAATGAAACAAAGCCTGTATACCTAGCAAGCCAATGGTAGAGAAGCATAAAAATATTAGGTGAGTCCAACAGAAGACGGAAAAGGGGATGAAAAGAACACATAGGGCAAATAGAAAACAGTTTTCAAGATAATAGATTTAAACCATATCAATTGATTGAACAATTAAACGTAAATGGTTTAAATATTTCAATGAAAAGGCAGAGATTATAATATCAGAGAGCAAAGCAAGTCCTGACTGTAGGGTTTCTATAAGACACCCACTTAATTTTTTTTATATTCTTTCCCCATCTTCCCAATATGCCCCCCAGCCCAGTGGTCTTCCTGGCACCTGACACTATGATGAAGGGAGTAACACAGCTCTGGGAAGTGACAATCGTTAGCAACACAAACAATGACAATAGTAATTAACATTTATTGGTCACTTGCAATATGGCAGGCATTTTGATAAGTGTTTTACATGAACTTTCTCAGAAACTCACTTCTATAAACAAGAAGACAGGTTAAAAGGAAAAGGATAAAATAATACATACCATGATATACTCATGAAAAGACAGGTGAATGGTTATACAAAGATTAAAGTATGCTTTAGAACAAGAACTATAACTAGGGATTATTAAAAACTGATTTCGTTAGATGCAGAAAAAGTGTTTGACCAAATTAGCATCTGTATGTGATAAAATTTCTCAGCAATCCAGGATTAAAAGGGAACTTCCTCAACTTGGTAAAAGGCATCGAGGAGAGACCTAAAGATAATATCATATTTAATAGTGAACCACTGAATGCTTTCACCTGAAGGTCAGATAGAAGGCAAGGATGTTCATTTGTACTAATTTCCTCAACAATGTTCTGGAGATTCTAGCTAGAGAAATTAAGCAGTAAAAAAATAAAAGGCATACAGATTAGGAACGGAAGAAGTAAAACCATCTCTTTTCACAGAAAATGTGATGAACTATGTAAAAATTTGTAAGGAATCTATTAAAACTATATAAGAAATAATGTTTGAGATTGGCAAGGTAGCAGGATATAACAAAACTGAAAATGAATTATACTTATATGTACACACATCGAACCACTGAAAATGATAATTCAGGAAGTAATATTTAAATGACTTAAATAAACACAAAAACCTTAAGGATAAAATTTAGTTGACATATGCCAGACATTTCACTGTACAGTAAAAATGGCAGTACATCTCTGAGAGAAATCAGAGAAGATCTAAATAAATAAATACATAAACTGATTTACTAGACTAAACTGATAAATTAGATTAGAACACTCAATATTATTATGTCCGTTCTGTACCAACTGATTACATAAACACTCATAGATGTAGAGTCAAGCCCAATCAATATCCCACCTCTTTGATGATAAGTTGATTCTAAAATGTATATGGAAATTTAAAGTATCTAGAATAGCCAGAAAAATTTTAAAATCTGAAATACCAACAACACCCTCTGTTTTAAAGACTTTTAAAAACTACAATAATCAATAATGTACAGTATAAGCAGAAAGACATAGATCATAGAGTTCAGAAATCAACTCGTTAATCTACAGTAATTGATTTTTAAATAAAAATGCCAAAGTAATTCAGTGGAAAAAGAGTAATTCTTTCAAGAAATGGGGCAGGAACAACTGGGTATCTGCATGTGTAAAAAATGAGCCTTGACTCTTACCTGATGCCATATACAAAAATTGCCATTTACAATGGACCTAAATGTAAGGGATAAAACTGTAATGTTTCCAGAAGGAAACAAGGACATGGAATGTATGGGGCTGTGGGTTTGGCAAAGATTTCCTATAATAAAATGTAAAAGCTCTCAGCACATTGTACATCAGTGATACTTTAATTTTAAAAAAAAGCCCTTGGCATAAAAGAAAACCTTTCATGATTTATAGGCCTCACCAAAATTCAAAAGTTCGGCTTTTAAGAAGATGAGAAGTTTCTGTTAAACTTGAAAAGGCAAGTAACAGTCTGAGGGCCATATTTGCAAAATGTTAAGCCTGTTAATGGACTTGTACCCAGATTATATATATTCTTACAACTCAATATCAGGATGATTAACAACCCAGTTTAAACGTGGGCCAAGTGCTGAATCAGGTACTCGAACAGGATTGCGTGTACGTCCAATAGCACGAGACGATGTGCAGCAGCTTTGGCGTCAGGAAGATGCACAATGCAGCCACATTGACCTAAGAAATAGACCAACGGTCCTCAAAACAGAGCCACACACTTGTGGAGTTTGGCTTGTGACAGAAATGGCAGATCATATCAGTGAGGAAGAGAGAGATTGTTCTGTGCTGCATGAGTCAGTGTTTCGTTGACCCGACCTTCATGTCCAGGACTGCCTTCTGCCCCACAAGGAGGCACACGGAGGAGGCAGCCTTCATCTTGTCCTGGGGGGGCTCTCGATGGAGGTGAGAACGCTGCTCCCACAGGAGACTGTTCAGGGCGAGTGGGTCTGACTCGCTCAAGCCCTTGTCCCCCTGGACAGCTGTGGGGCAGAGAGAGATCGGGGAGGGAGGAGGAGCACGAAACGCATTTCTGCTGGCCTCCACATGCAGGTGCTGCCCCAGGAAGAACCCCACTGCCCCATCTGCCCTGCCTACGGATGTTTCTAGGGCACTAACGGTACCTGCTTTTCTTCCCTCTTCCACAACGACTGGGGCTTCAACTGCTGGTCAACGGGAAAGGAAACAAGATGCTAAATGACTGCACAGTCAACGGAGTGGCCACACTTGGCCGACAAATATCCCACCAAAAATGCCACTGGGCCCACCTCAAAAGATGTAAGAAGGCCCGCATGGAACGCGGTGTTCAAAGAACCCTGCGTCGCCACCTGAGCCCATGAAGAGGAGGGGTGCTCGGTTGTTTTTCCTGAATCCATGTGGAGACTCGTTCTGGCTACACCAGGCTTCCCCAGGAGAATTCCCCTAAAAACCACAATGGCCGCCAGACCCAGTCGGGCGAGGTCACCCGTGGCGTCATCTCCAATGTGGGATGTGGGGGGACTGAAAGACTGGAACCATCTGATCACAAAAGGTTCCCTCTTCAAACAGACTCACCAAATGGGACTCTCACGCGCTCACTTGCATTCCTGGCCAGGGAGCAGCTGTACCTTAATGGATGTTTGAATCACTGAAAACAAGATGTGGGATTTCAAGAGAGCTCTAGCGGCTCTGTGCTCTTCCTTCCTTGATATTCTCTGTGTGTCACCTTCCTCCCTCCATCCATTCACTCTTCCTCTCATTTCCACCTTCCCACATTTCCTTTTCCCCTTTTCTCTCCATCTATCAGGAACTCATCTCAGGAGCACCACAAAAAGCAGCTCCACAGAGCCCTGGAATAATT